CTGTCCTGTCCTGGACTTTCTGTGTAGAGCAGGCCAGTCTCGAACTCACAGAGTTCCTCCTGCCTCTGTACACCACCATGCCCTGTAACTTTTGACTTGTGCTGAGGTGGGCATGCATACATGTATGCATGTATGTGCAGGGCAGAGTTTGATTCCAAACGCCTTCTAACATTCTCCCCCTTTAGTTAGAGACTTTTTCACTGTGTACATTTTATTTTCACGTATGTGTGAGCATATGGGAGTGGGGTGGGTGTGCAAGTGTGCGTACGTGCGTGTGGAGTTCAGAGTTCGCAGTCAAATGTCTTCCTCTATCACTCTCCCATTAGTTTTGATAAAAGGGCCTCTCACTAACCCTGTGCTCACTGGATAGGCAAGACTAGCTAGGCAGTATGCTCCCAGAATCTTCCTGTCTCCACCCCTTCCCCAGCCCTGTGACTATAGGCGCATACCGCCATGCCTGGACTGTTTTCTCACAGGAGTGCTGAGGATCCAAACTTAGGTCCTAATGCTTCTGTGGCAAGTACTTGCTCTATCTCTGTGCCCATGACCATGTCTTAGTGAGCGTTCTACTGCTGTGAAGAGACACCACGGCCAATTGGGGGCTTGCTTACAGTCCCAAGGCTTAGACTATCATCATCATGGCAGGGAACGTGGTGGCAGGCACGGCAGGCACGGCAGGCATGGCATTGGAGTGGTATTTGAGAGCTACTACATCCTCGTCCATAGGTGGCAGGTAGAGAGAGGGGAGGGCTGGGCCTTGGCATGGACTTTTGAAACCTCAAAGCCCACACCAGTGACACAGTCCCTTTAACAAAGCCACACCTGTCAATCCTTCTAATCCTTTCAAATAGTGCCACTCCCTGGTGACTAAGCATTCAGATGAGCCTATGGTGGTGGGGGTGTGTGTGGGGGGGTCATTCTTATTCAAACCACCACACCCCACAGTCTGACTGTGTCCATGACTGCAAACCAGCAACACATGGACGGTGCCATTTTGCTGCCCCGGATGTGAGCTGCACTGCCTGAGCCTGTGAGACTCTTAGCTGCTGTGGTGTTTGGGTACTTAGGCAGATGGACATGGCGGAAGTGAATCCCAGAGAGACTATTCCCCCAGGTGGCCACTTCAAACAACCCTGAGGAATCTTCAAGCCCCCTTTTGTTGTCTGGACACAGAGGCTCTGGTTTTCTTTTAATGGAGTAAATATCTCACACATGGGGCAAACACAGAGTCCACTGTACAAGGTTAACTGAAGTAGTTTGGAAAAGCCCCAAAAGATAGAGACAATCCCCAAGTGGCCTTAGGGTAGCACCAAGCACTTATTAAGGAGTGTTAATATCTTTAATAACATCCACCTTCAGGTGGAGACTTGAGGATCAGAAGTTCAAGGCCAGCCTGGGCTATATATCGGAAGACACCCAGTCTCAACAAAACCAAGCAACTACGAAACAACCCTCCCCGCAAACCTCCCTTAATGACTGACTCAGCAGTTCTTTGTGCCTTCTAAGGCAGGCGTTTTAAAGGAGGCATCTAAAGCTTCCTACATGAAGAACAACAGTGTTAACACGTAGGGTTCTAACGAAGTTCACCTCACTCTGATCATCTCAACCCTTTTTCACCTGTGCAGGACTACGGTGGATAAATAATTCTGCCCCCTGCTCCTCCCGGTAAGAACCATCAGACCATCGGAGCACAGACTCCGAGTTCTGCTCAGAACTCAGGACCAGCAGTCATCTCTCCAGGGTGATGAAGAAACCCAGAAGCAAATGCTGGCTGGCAGTGTCCCCTGGGGGCTTCGTCTGGTGTGGTGCCCTTCTTCTAAGAGAGCTATCAAAGGAAACAGGCTGGAGAAGGCTTTAATTACCTGCAGGTAGGGCTGAGCAGGGAAGTGTGGCAGATGTGGACTTACTGCCCCCTAGTGTTAGAAGTTAACAGCTACAGACAGACAGAACTTGCTCCAGGAGTTGACAGTCCTGTGCTGTGCATCACGGGATGGGTTGGGAGGCTCCTTCCTGATACTGATTTCTCAGAAGCCAATCTGTCATATTTGGGCAGCCTGTTCTGCCCCACGCCTATGGCGAATAGCAGCAGTTGAGGCTCAGCTATCGGCCAGGGAAGACCCAGCCACGTGAATTTTGCTTTGTTCCTGTTCCACATGGTACCCAGAGGAAGTTCTGTTTGAAAACGGTTTAGCTAAGGACCATTTGTGTTCGGGGGCCGGGGCTTGTCCTGAGGACCAACTGTATTGTCTTATGGTCATTTCTTCTTTTTGAGACAAATGCTCACCGTGTAGCCCAGGGTGGCCCGAAGCCCGAGGCCCTCCACAAGCACACACCACCAGCATTGCCTTGCTGGCACGGTCTGGTTCCAGTTCACATATCAAACCTGGTGCGTGTTCCTGCTTGGTGCCGGGGACTTTATGGCTTTGGGATTCCTCAGAACTCTTTCTAGATTTCAGTGGCAGAGTCCTAGAACTAGGCTAGCATTATCACTAGCGCAGTTTAAGTGTTTTAGATTTGGATGAGGAGTCTAATTCTGATCTCCAGTGAGTGAATATTCTTTTCTTCTGAGGGCACACTCTCCTTTTCAGCTAAAAGTCAGGACTGGAAAGCAAATTCTGCTGAACCCTGTCTCTCGGTCCCTAGTTTTAAACACAGGCATGGAGTATGGCAGCCTGTGGGGTTAGTCCAGCTTGCCTGTGGCCAGGGTTTCCAATTCTACCACCAATCCCACAGTCTGGGGCAGAACACAGGAGGACCAGGGTCAGGCAGATGGGCCCATTCTCAACCTGCACTTCCCCCTAAGTTGCTGAGAAGCTGCTGCTGTGTTGAGAATCGGTTGTTTGCCTAAGAGCACGTGGGATGAAAAGAGCACACTGAAGATAATTTCTGCACCGTCTATTTATCTCATGCCTTTCTTCACTAGAGCAGAGTGAAAAACTTGGCTATTATCCATCACCCCATAAGGTTTAGGACTCCTAGATTGCTGAGCATATGGAGTTCACTTAGATTGCTGAGCATGTGGTCTTCTCTCCAGGGATTCTGGGACTTTGTTAGCATCTTTAGGATTGGCAGGTTCCCTTGGTGGCCTGCAAATGGGGCAAAGGCCAAGGAACTGCAGTTCTTCACACCCCTGATTTCTCCAACCAAGAAAACACAGAGGCCACAGCTGGAAGCAGACCCACCCTGAGCTGCACGGGACTCGGCAAGAGGGGTGAGGCTGCCCTCGATCAACGCCAAATCCCTAGAACCAATGTGTATGGCAGGTCAGGAGACAAAGGAGTTAAGGCGCAGACTGCACCAGGAGACCAGACCATCTTTTCATGTCTTTCATGGCATCTTGAGAGCACACCCCAAGGGGCAGGAGATGATCTCATGCCTATGTTATGGGGCTGGAATTTCTTCAATGGGCCCTGGTATTCCTGCCTGCTCAGGACTCCAGCCAGGTCAGGAAGATCTGTAGAGGAATTTTAATTTAGAACATGGTTGTTCTGACAAGAGAGCACATCCAAAGACCTAGGTCTGTGTGATCTGGCTGGAATACAAACATGCCTTTAATCCAGGAGACAGAGGCTAACAGATCAAGGCTAGCCTGGTATAGAGCAAGTTTCAGGTAAAGAAAAGCTTAGGTCCAGACCTGGTGGGACATGCCTTTAATCCCAAACAATGAAGGTAAAGTTAGTTTGTTGAAGGAAGAACCCATGTTAGAAAGTGATGTCTGAGTGGCAGAAAGAGTGACAAATCAAAGAAAGACTTGATAGAATAAGATACGTTCAACTCTCACGAGGAGAGAGGGAAAAGGGAAGCTACTTAGAGGCAATGCAGAGAGGAGGCAGTTTTACTGGGACAGTACAGACAGGTTGCAGAGGGAGAAATCAGGTGAACACCGAATGGACCAGAGACTGAGAGAGGAGCCAGAAGGTTAGAAAAGTTTGCTGGGGTTAGTTTGAGCAATTCAGGTGCTCAGAGAAAAGCCAGATTGGGTAAGTCATCTGGGAGAGGACTTTGAGCCAGGACAGCTGAGTTAAACCAGCCAGCCCAGAGCTCAGTAAGGACTTAGAAGGGGTGAGCTTATTTAAGCAGCAAGTCTCAGAGGCCGAAAACATTCTAGGCCTAGGTTAGATTTTATGGAGGCCAGAAACTTTTAGGGCTGGGCCTAGGTTAGCACAAGGAGGCAGTAAGCCTCCCAGAGAATAACTGAAGAGGAAAATAAACGTTCCTTTTACAAAGATCTGCTGTGTTGGGCAGCCTGGCTTGTGGGCTGTGTTTGTCTGGTGCATGCGGGGCATGGTGCAGGAGATTAGGCACGGAGCACAACACACGTGTCCTGCCTTTTGACACAAACTGCCTAGGAACTTACCAAACAAGGAGTCAGGTTGAAGACTCAAAGACTAACACTGTAGGTTCACTTTCCACCTAATTTGGGAAAGGAAGGACCCATGCAGTCAGGTGACAAAGCAACCCCTGGTCGCCTACTCTGATGCTCCCAGCTCAACCCAGGGGACACATTGCACACACTTAGATCACAGACACTTAAAGTTGTAGGTACACAAGTATGTTAACGCACCTGTCTGTACATGCACACTCACTTGCATTTATGAAAACATGCCAACTCACACTTCTCTACACGTGCTTGCAAACAGACGACACACACATAATGATCCATGTGTGCACAACTTCTCAGACACTCAGGCATTTTATGCCTGCCCCCACCCCAGCTCCAAAAGTGGAGTGGACAGCATCCTGACCCATCTTCCCACGAGGTGTACGCACAGACACATGCACGTTAAGATTCTCAAGTGCAGAGATCTCAATGCTGGGGCACACACACAGGCTCCTAAATGGAGAGGACACCATTCCCCTCCCCACAAAGTTCAATGGCCGCAGAGGTTCAGAGTGACCCGGAGTAAGGGGAAGAGACAGAGGAACAAGGGCTGGGGCCATGACCCGGTATTAGTAGCAACGTAGAAAATGCAAAAGGTTCCCGTTATTCCAGAAAAATATTACACTTCATAAAATCCATGTTTATTCAAAAAAATCTCCTGGGAAAGTCTGGAAAGCTTAATAAATATCTGTACAGTGGCCGCCCGTCTCAAACACAGACAGGAAGCGTGAACGTGGAGTGAGCTGTAAACGTGGCTGCCGAGCGTGTCAACGCAGCGTGGGGCAGGAGCAGGGTGGACCCGTGCCTCCCACCTGCACGGAGGAGCCAGGCTGGCCTCGCCTCCCACCTGTCCCCGCCGCACAGGGACTAGAGTCCTTTTCCACTCCAGCCATCTCACAGTCTTGCAGGTGGTGGAGGGTGACAAAACATGCCAGAGAGAATGAAGAGTCGAGGCATAGTCCCTCCTGTGCTTGAGAGAAGCGGTACAATGCAGGGGAAATCCCAAGGGGCATCTTGAGGGAAGAACACAGTTTAATACACAATACTGCAACATTAGATACTATCAGACACGATCCTCACTTAGAAAGCCGAACAGTATCCAAAGGTCAGTGCATACAGGTAGTTTAAGAACACACACATTCCAACAGGGGACAGGGATGCTCATGGCTTGCCCGCCACTGACTTAAGGGTGGAGAATCTGACGAGCCCCCCATCCTTTCATTGGGCATTCATCTTGTTCTCATCCCAAACCGGACAGGAGCTGCCAGTGGGATGGCCTAAAAGTGACCATTTTTAGGGTTAGGGAGGCCTGTGACGTAGGCTGGGGTTTCCCATGACAAATTCTGTAGTTTCCATGACCCAAACAGGTGGTTGACAGTGGGCTTCTGCGGGCAGAGGACCTTTCATCGTGTTGGGTAAAGGGTTCACAGGACAGGCAAGGTAGACACTAGAGCACTGGGGTCACATGCCACAACCGCCTGCTTGTTGCACTGAAGACTTTAAAGAACAGGGATTAAAATAATCCCACCACATGCTCTCCAGGCCGGCTCTAGGGGAGATTTCAAGTATATGTACTGGGAGAAGGTGGGGACATCGAGGTATTTATACTCTTAGCAGAGCAGGGCTGAGCCAGCTTCCTCTACAGACACGTGACATGCTTCACAGACACTTCAAGGATAGTTTGGGGTGACGGTCTCCTCCATCCCTTTGGCGAGAGTGGGCTGAGTGTAAGGCAGATAACCTGGCATTAATGAAGAAGGATGTGATGGGACCATGTGACCATGTGGGTTACACGCTATAGTCACCTCCTCATCAATGCCTTCTGTGTTCTCTTTACCAAAACTCGTAAACGTGAAGCTGCAAACAAACCCAGCCCGAAGGCTGCATGCAGCTGGCGTGTGGATCCATGCCAGAAAGGCCCTCGGAGGGTGGCTGAGCTCCGCCTCATTTCCAAGAGGACAGAATCTGTCACTAAGACTACCCACTATTCTTTCCCTCTAGATTTCTATTAGGAAATGGAAGGATTCAGACCTAAAATATTAACAGGGATGTGATTTCAGCCTTGGGCAGAGCATTTTTCCATCGAGAAATACGGGAACTTCTCTAGAGACACCATGAAAATGGCACACAGTCTGTTCCCGCTCTTTGTATTTTATAACTCTCAAACAAAACAGAGGCCAGGGGAGTAATTAAAGCTTGTGAAATAAGTTTACATTTTGAGGTCTGAAATAATTTAGACTGAGCAAAGGAATTATGTTCCAAATGTCCCACTGGGGGCAGGTGTTGGAAAAGAGGCCATGACCCATTTGTGGTCTTCCAAGTGCAAGCTCGCCATGACTAACAGGTGCCTCCCACACCGACTGGGCAGAGGGGTCGCTCCTCAGCCTGGAAGGTTCTGAGCCACAGTGGGGTGTCCTCTGACCTGAGCCTACCATGGGGTTATCCTTGGCACCCCCAGAGAGACTGAAGGACACACAAGCCCCTCTGCCAGGGCCAGGCTGAGTGGAGCGCGCCATGCAGCAAGCGTCTCACTCCATCCGGCATGAAGAGTGCACAGACAGGAGCCACTACTGCTGCTCCCTGTGCCGACCATACCCTGGGAACACAGGGCTACGAGACACAGAACCACGGCTTCCCCCAAGGACATCACTCCTGTTGACAGCCTGGCCTGGCACCTTCCGCCTCTCTGAGGTCACGGGGCTCAGGTGTCTCTCCTGTCCTCAGTCAGGCTAAAGAAGGGCTGGGGGAGGAAACAGAGAGTGAGTACAATATGCCGCCTCAGGCAAACACTGCCAACACACCTGGCAATGGCAGAGCCCCATGCTCTCCAGTGTCCCTGGGGCCAGAGGGCTTGAGGTGGGATGGGGCAGCAGTACAGTGGGCATTTTCCCAGAACTCCTCTCTCAACCACCACAGATCAGGCTCTCAGACAGACCCGGCCATCTAGACTCTTGGGTTAGGTGTTTTCATCCTGACAAGCTGGAGATAGAGTCAGGGAGAGGCCACCCAGCATCTCACTCGTGAACAGGGGATGTTGAGGGGCACTCTTTGGGTGATTTTAGACAGGACCAGGCAATTAAGCTGGATGTTGCCACACAGCCATGGGTGTCACCAGAACATCCAGGAGTCTCCAGCTCTTCCAGGGAGGCCCTGCAATCTCCTGGCAGGGACCCTGCACCAACATCCTTAAGAGCAACAGTGGGAAACACCTAGGTGAGAGGCTGAGCACTTAACTGACATCAGAATGGTAAAAAGTGTTCTGCTGTGAACATAAGCCATGACATGAAAAGACTAAGAGCCCTGAGTGAGCCCAGACAGGCTCCGGCAGGGTGCTATGAGGTGACAAGTTTATTTGGTTTCACTCAGGAGGAAAGGAGAGCAGGCGGCGAGGTCGGCGCAGCAAGGCTCAGACATCCTGGGCAGGACCCTCCCCAGGGCTTCCGAGGAGACAGAGAGACAGCCAAGGCCAGATCCATCTTTGTGCTGGACTCAGGGTCACTCAAGTGTCCGTGAACAGGACCCGGATCTGGCATCCGTGAGCCCGGCAGGGAGGCTGATGCTGGAGGTGGCCGGCCACTACAACCTGGTAGATGTGAGTCTCTTCATGCCTCTGCGTTGAGCCAAGCTAGATGATAGCACAGGCTCCAGCCTCGGTGCCTGTGGGGTCCTGTTCAGAGCAAAGTAGGTGGCTGCCATGGCGCCCTGTAAGAGGAAGGGAGGGCAGGTGAGCAAGGAGCCCATCTACTCCAGACTTGGAAGCTGGAGCCACAGGACCTTGGGAGCCTCAGTTTACCCCCATGTGAAACAGGGTAAGGCCTTGCTCTGGGATAACTGGCGCACCGAGGGTAGCAGGCAGGCTGCAACGCCTCCAATATAATAAGCCCATAAATGATGGCTCCTACCACGTCACTGTAAGCTCAACTGGGCTTGTGCCTTAGGAATATTTAAGACTGGAGCGGAGTTCCTGGGAAGGTCATGTGATCATCTTACTGCCAACAGGAAGGCAGATGTGTTCTGGGGCCAGCTGGGTCCTCGGGAATTCATAGCCACTGGTTCTTAGGCTCTGCTACGCTGAAGCAGCCTGGACTAACTTGGCCAGCTGGGCTGGCCTTGATATCGCTCCACACCCTCGAGACAGATCCAGGATGGAGTTCTAAGAGGCAGGGCTGGGACTACACCATACTTCTTAGAAGGGTGGTCCCGCCTGGACTGTGGGTCCGCCTGGCAGGCGAAAGCTGCTTGAAACACGGCTTGCTAGCATGCAGGGTACTCTTACAGATCTCTGGCCCAGACCTGAAGGCTCTGAAGCATAGGGTTGTACAGCCAAGGTGCCAAACACCACCCCTACACCAACGCTGTCACTCAAACACAACTTCTGCCTGTGTGCTGAAGTGACACTTGTGTGCCTCTAAGTGGTGACTTTACATTCTAGTTTCTTCTCACCAATGGCGAGGCACTGTCTTGCCTGGCGCCAGGATTCCCGTGCTCACTGTCAGGACTCTGGCTACAGCATACCTTCACCAGATGGACATCCTGTCTGCTCAGCTGGCTTTGGGATAGGTACTCTCTGTTCACGATCCATGGGTGTTTCAACACTTGAACCGCTGTTAGGCGCTGCTGTGGGTCCACATGGAGCATCTTGGACACAACATCCTGCCGAGAGTCCAGAGGGGAGGAGGACTGTGGGGTTGGGCTGTCTAGAGAATGCCCGGCAGAACATAACTGCCATTCTGTGGTGATTCTTTGCATTCTGGGTCAAATGACTTCCAGGTTTATGAGTGTGTCAATGTACCTTAAGTGCCAACGATTACTGGCTTAGCGGCAGACAGTGTGTTTCATTGAAGGTTTTATAGCAAAGGCATGTCAAATGTTAAATGGCACAGTAAGCTGCTGAAAGACTATTTTAATAAAAACGATTGCCTTCCACAAACACAAGAAATACCAGGCAGCGCAACAGTGCCCTTCTACAGAGCCATCGAACGCCTCCCAGCACCGGGCCTCAGGGATGCTTAGGAGCAAGTCTGTCCTCGAAGCACAGCTGCTTCTGGTCTCAAGCGTGAGTGTGAAAGCGATGAAAACTGTTTGCTCCCTGTGCCACGGTGCCCCAGCACACACGGGATACATATAATGACGTGCCATCCCTGCGGGGGGGGGGGGCGGGCGGCGGGCGCGAAGTGCTCTGTGGCAGAACACTTGCCTAGAGCTATAGTTTGAAGTGGAAACGTTCCCCATAGGCTCATGTGGAAAGCCTAGGTGCCCCCAGGTGTGAGTGCTATGCTGGGAGATTCTTCTGAAACTTTAGGAGGTGGTGCCATCTGGAGAAGGGTTACTGGGAGCAGACCGTTGGTGCTGTCTTATCACTGGCATCTTCCTGTTTCTCCTCTCTGCTTTCTGTCTCTCCTCTGCTACCTGCCATGATGTGCTGACTAAGCACCGAAGCCAAATGACCATGGGCCGCTCACCCTCTGAAACCGAGAGCCAAAAGAAATCCTTCCTCCTTTAAATTGTTTATGGCAGGTGTTTTGGTCACAGTGATGAAAAAGCTAACACACCCAGCATACATGAGGCCCTGGGTTTGATTTCCAGTACCACAAAACAATTCCAAACCAAACAATGACAGGCTCAGAAACACACAAAATCATGCTGTCACAGCTTTGTACGAGATGGCAGGATGGAAGGCTCTGTTGTGTGCTGAGTAAGGAAAGGAAGAAGGACAGGAGAAAGCCGAGGGAGGACAGTACAGTGGGAGAGGCTGTAGTGGGGGTAGACGTCTCAGGGGGCAGTGAGGTCCCTGCTGGCAGCAGCAGTCTTGATCATTCACACTTGCCCTGGGCTTATTCTCCCTTCTCTCTGCTCTCAGACAGGCACCGGAAGTACAGCCTGCTGTGAGGCCTAGCTACAGAAAGCCACGCTAAGACAATTCCCAGTCACCTGAGACAAGGTGATCGTGTGGGAAGGAGCAGCTGGGGTGTTGGAGTTCAACGCATGGGAAGTGCTCCTCAAACACCAGCTGTCTTCCTTATCACCTGCATGTCACCTCCACTAGGATCTCTTCTCTCCATCCTACCGTCACCTCTGCCATCGCCTCCACCAGGACCTCCATCATACTCACTACCATCACATCTGCCAGAACCTCTACCATATCCTCTGCCAACACCTCTGTCATCACCTCAACCATATCCACTACCATCACCTCCACCAATCTCTCTACCATATCTACCACCATCACCTCTGCCAGAACTCCCTCCAGAACCTCCACCATTTCCACTCTGCCATTGCCTCCACCAGGGCCTCCACTATCTCCCTACTATCACCTTTAACATGACCTTTGCCACATTACCCACCATCACCTTCTCCAGCAGTTCCGCCAGGACTTCCACTATTTCACCCACCATCACCCCTACCTTCCACAACCATATTCTATACTATCACCTCCACCAAACCACATCATCACTCTCACCAGGACCTTCACAACCATTATCATCTCAGAAGATGGTAATGTCTACATTGTCACCTCAGCCACCACCTCCACCTTCTACACCAACTCCCTCTCTCTGTCTCTTGTGTGTGTTGTGTGTGTGTGTGTGGTGTATATGTGATATGTATGTGATGTGTGTGTGATGCATGTATGGGGTATGTGTGTTTGTGGGGTGTGTGCGCATGCATGTGTACAAGGGCCTGAGGAGGATGTTAGCTGTCCTGCTTATCTCTTTCTGCCTTATTTCTTTGCGGGTCTCTCACTGAACCTGGAACTAGGCTGGCCACCAGCAAACACTGCCTCTGTCTCTCCTCACCAAGCCCTCAAGGTAAATGCTATGCCTACCTTCTGTTTTTGAAGGCTGGGTATTCCAACTGGCACTCTTACCTACTGAGCATCTCCTCAGACTGAAAACCCCTTCTCGTCCATCACCCCAGATGCCACCTCTACCATCTTCTACAACATCAGCTCCTCCTCCATCCCCTCCACCTTCTGCACCACTGCTCCAATCCCTGCCTGAGGTCTCAGACAATGGTGATGGCAAATCTTGAATTAGAAACCTGCTTTCTCCTGCAGAACTGTCACAGTAACGCAGAAGAAAGGCTGCAGCCACAGCTTGCTGATGGTCAGACTGCAGTGCACTTATTTCAGTATTGGATAGAGTCTAGCACCTTGCAAACACTAAGGGTGCTTGACCATTGACCCACACCCTCAGCCCAACAGTACATTGTTTTACTAGACTGTAATTTGATGATATCCACTAAAGAAGACTAGAGCCTGATGGGCAGGAGAGCGAAGCTGGTGACCAGTGTGCACACCAGGAAAACACAAATTTAATGCCTTTAAACTAACACAAATGTGCCTCAGACATTTAGGGCAGTCACATGGAAACATTTCTAGAGAGGAGGCAACTTGGGGGTTCTGTGGGTACCCTGCAGCATCACCTCTTTCTCAGGGTCCCCAGTTGCCAGTCACTCTGTAAACTTCAGGCTGGCAACCCTGGTCATAGCAGCCAGTTCCCTAAGCACCACTCCTCTCTGACCCTGTCTGCCTATCTCTTCATCTGCTTATGTCTGTATCCCCATCCACATGTACATCTCCCATTGGTTCTGTTTCTCTGCAGAACTTAAAGACATTAACATTGAATGTTTTTAATTAAAAAATATGGACCACTCTGAGAATGAAAGTCTGTAACGTTTATATGGGTGGCGTCTCCAGATCCCTCACAAATAATATTTAAATGGCTGGACCTGCCGCTAGGAGGTGAGAATACTGGCAACTATACTCACCTTTGCCGCATCAGATATGGAGTCCCAGTTCCCCCCCGAAAGGGCATACTTCCCACTGCCAATCCTCGCCAGAATCTCCTCAGGGGTATCGTCTGGCCCATTGGCAAAAGGGGTGAACCTGTGTGGGGAGAGGGTTGATACAGTGAGCTCACGGCTCCACAACAGTACTGAGGGAACAGTGTCTGTCCCATTCTTTTCCAAGCCCAGGGCTATGCCAGGGCATGGTGCAGGTCCTAGCGCCCCCTTTCCCACTTGGCCAGTGCTACAAGTCAACAGAAGGAGCAGTGAAGACCTTTCCACCCAAGCATGCAACTTTTCTAGGCCCTTTTGGATCACACTGGTGCCAGGATGGTAAGGGGTCTACCTGGAGATTTGGTTTCTATGATGACAGAGCGGTTCGGTGGTCAGAAACCTGACGTGTAAAGTCTGAGGGATGGACCCATGGGTTGCTCTATCACTAACCCATTTCTTGGCTCTTGGGCAGATTGATCCTTGAACGTACAAAAGTCGCTCTATGGATGTCAAGTGTAGTCCTTGTCCACAACCCTGACGCGAGCCAGACACATGTGAGCACAGACCTCCCAGGAAGAGGAACATGGCAGACTCCCCTAGTGAGTGTTCCTTTCAAGGGAATGGTTTAGGTAGTAGAGGGAATGTGGGCTGTTCTGTGGAAGGCCAGTGTGTTTTGTTTGTGGGCTGAGTGTATGGAGACTGTATAGCTGATCATCCTTGTCCCTTCGTTATCCTGCAGGGCTTGGATATTCACCCTAACCCAGTGGGGTGGCATTTGTTTACACACAAGCCCCAGGGAGGAGAGGGGAGGGTCTCAGGGCTGGGGTTGAGAACACCCCTGGTGACCCTCCATTACCCAGCCAGCATGGTGTACAGCAGGATTCCCAAGCTCCAGACATCACACGCTGCATCGTAGCCTTGCCGCTTCAGGACCTGCAGAGGCAACCGGCATGGTCAGGATGGCACCAGGCAGCTCCATTTCAGAGCGTTTTCCTAGGTGGATGGGAAGTGGGCAGGGTGGGGTCAGCCTGCCGGGCTCAGCCTGCCCTACCTATCATGGTGTAGCATGGTCCCTGCAGAGACAGAGGAGGGGGCAGAGCACCTGCCTGACACATGGTGTTAAGAAGCTTTGTTTCCAGTTAGCCATGTTCAGAGGAACTCTTCGATGCACATTAATGTGCAAGGTGCAGCCATCTTCCAGAACCCCATTTTCCTAAACTAAAACTTTGTCCTTGTTAAGCACAATTTCCCTACTGGCTAACCCGGTTCCTGACAAACCCATTCTACTTTCTCTGTGAATCTGACCTTGTGAGGAACCCCAGACAAGTGGGATCATACAGTGCTGGCCTGGAACTCACAGTCTAGGCAGGGATGACTGAATTCACCATCCTTCTGTCTCCCTCTCCTGGGATGAGAATGCACTGCTATGGTTGTGTAGTGCTGGGGATTAAGCCCAGGGCTTCTCTATTGCCAGACACACACTGTGCCAACCACATCCTCAGCGTCTTCTCTGTCTGCTTTCCTGTGACCGTCTTGTTTCATGGAGTCGTGTCGTCGTGGTTCATTCATGCTGTGGCAGGGGTCAGCATTCCCTGCCTTCGAGGGATGAGAAATGCTCTGATGTGTGTGCACATACCTGTGTATTAGCCAGTGGTGGGTACTTGGGTTGCTGTAAATGATGTTGCTATACACAGGGATGGACAGACACCCTTAATTCTTGAGGTTATGTACATGGAAGTGGAACTGCTGGATTACGTTTTGAGATGAGGTCATAACCATTCTGTCTCCATCCCCTGACCTCAAGCGGTCTTCCTGCATCCTCCCACAGAGTTCCAGCGGACTACAGGTGTGTGTCAGTGTGCCCAACATTAGTTAAACATTATGAAGAATTACCGAGAAGGAAGAACTCTGATGAACTGTAACGTCAGTTTATATGGGTGATTGCTGGGATGGCCATACTTGACTGCCAGTGAAGAGCCCAGGCGGATGGGCACATGGATCACTGTAGATTGCTGCATTGCCTGAATGAGGCATTGCGACTCTGTGCTCAGTTTCTTCCCAGGTGAGAGCAAGGAGCCTGCTTTCACCCCCTACCCTCCTGTCACTATATACCGTGCTGCCAGACTGATATGACATGCTAAACATACACTTCTAAGTCCCTGCCTGAGTGACCTCCCAGAGTCATTTAAATACTGGATTTGCTTTCCTTTCCTCCATCTATGAAACGTGGCTACTTGTATGCACTCTGACGGCATTAACAGTGGGCAAAAGAGGCCTAGTCAGAGCTTCAAACAAACTGTCTCCAAAGGGGCCAACGCTGCTCATATGCAACCCCTGGGCAAGGGCATGCTGCTTTGGACCGGGAGTCTGCCTGAGTATCACTCCGTGAAGCACACAACTGTGTCTTCCTCTTAGGGCTCTAAGCAGACCTGACAGTTCTACTCAGGAGACCACATGCAGGGTCGAAAGCCCTTTTCATTCCTGAGCCTTTTGTGGGTTCAGCAGCAATACCAGCCCCTGCTGCCACTGTGGTTTCACCTCACCATCAACTCATGCAAGAAACCAGGCTCATTATCATTGGCAGCAGCGACAGTAGAGCCTATTGGAACTGGCCTCAGGAAGCTGGCGCGAGCGATGAGATGCCCTTTTGTGATCCTTTGAGGTAACGGGCGGGGAGCAGAGTGGGTGGGTTGCACATTGCAGCGGGACCCCGATATTTTCAAGTTAGATGGATGCTGACTTGTCGGCAAGGAAACACTAGAGCAGTGGTTCTCCACCTGTGGGCTGTCATCCGTTGGGGGTCAAACAGCCCTTCACAGGGGTCACACAAGACCACCAGAGGACACAGATATTTACATTGTGATTCGTAACGATAGCAAAGTTACAGTTATGAAGCAGCAACAAGAATAATTTTATGGTTGGGTCAGCACAGCGTGAGGAACTATTAAAGGGTCGCAGCATCAAGAAGGTTGAGGGCTGCTGCTTTAGAGCAAAAACAATCTACATTATTCCAGCAGAAAATAAAATGCTTACAGTGGGTGAGTAGGACTGGCAGATTCCAGAGCAACCATGCTCTTTCCTTCCTACAGAAGGTTCGCCTTTCTCTCCTGAGGACTTTGCTCCTTCTTCTCCCTCACAGCAGGCTCGCCTTCCTCTCCTAAGGACTTTGCTGAGCCCATTTTGTTGCCTCAATGCCCCAAGCTCTCTGGTTACTCTGCTAACAAGAAAGGCCGCTTTCCTCAGCCTGACAAATCTGTCTTCCCTGGGTTTGGGGGACTATACCTCAGGGGCCACAAAGTTCGCTGTGTAGCAGGGGGTCATGAGCAGCCCATTCTCCGCTCGCAGCTGCTTGGCAAACCCGAAGTCACAGATGCGGATGGATTCGGGGTTTCCAGACTCGTCCATGTACAGAATGTTGCTTGGTTTCAGGTCCCGATGAACAACCTGGAAGGCAGAATTGTGAGTCAAAGCTGAGTGGGAGAGGAGGTTGTACAGGAGGCCAGGGCCGCCTGGGAACTGATGACTGGAGCAGGCCCCAAAGCAGGAAAAAAAAAGAGCTATCCCTTACCCATGCTGGTCACAGGAAGACACACAGCCTATGTCCACACAGGACTATATGGCTGAAAAACACATGCTAACCCAAGACACAGGAGCAGCTGTTGTACTATGCCACAGCAGGGTCTGTGGCAGGCAGCTCTGGCTACTGAGATGCGAAGGTTCCCATGCTTTATGCTCACTCAGAGGGATTTGGGGACATGCCAGGTAGAGGCCACTTGTCACGGGTGCCAGAAGCATGGTGCACCTGCTGTCACAGGCACACTGACTCCCTGGCAACAAGGGGAGAAACTCAGGACTGCAGACTGCACGGCCCAAGGCACAGACTCCAAGCATGTCCCACAGCTACAGTGACAGCTGTCACAACAGAAGGGCCAGCAATCTCTCAAAACAAAGCAGCTATTTAGGACGCAGAGTGAGGCCTTCTGAAGGGACAGAAGGTCCCTGTGCAGACACCTGGTGTGCCTTCATGAGGCTTGGAACCTGAACACCCCAACTGTCCTCTTGTGGAGCATTGGGAAGTTCTGCTAGTAACATAATTGGGCAACCTGGCCCATCATATAGACACTGATAGCAGGCTATAGGAGACTGGAAGACTTGTCTCCATTCCTGTTTCCCTCATTAAACAGAAGATCTGTGATGCCCGCACTTGCAGGATACTTCTAGAATCTGCCTATTGGAAAACTGTGTTGTGGAACTCATGGAGGAAGCCACACAAAAAGGATGTACTGTGAGATCTTGGAAGATCTGTCAAGCCTGAAGATCATGCAAGCTGGCAAGCCTGTGTACACAGCTGGCCCAAACCTGCTTTATGAGGAATTCTGAGAAGGAGAGAGAAACGGACCAGAGGAGAGGGTGGAGGTGAAGGCTGGGGGGTGGGGAGAGTAGAAGGATAGACAGAGATGGTACATGGTGGAATGAAGGATGGAGAGAAGAATGGAGAAAAAGATAGGCACAAAGGATGGAAGGATTAAGGAGAAGGATAGAGAAAGATGTGGGAAGGATAGAGGTGAAAGATGAAGGAAGAAATGGGGGAAGGATGGAGTTGAAGGATGGAGGAAATGATGTAGATATTGCATTTTGCTGGCCTCCTTCCTTGAGACTGAGAATGTGGCCTAGAGCTCTGTAGTATGGCCTTGGTGGGGTCCTTAACCTTGGACAATGTGCATGACCCAGACTTTAGAAGTGAGTCTATGAAGACCTTGGTGTAGCCTGGGCTTGAGGTTAAGGGAACCCAACTGTTACCCTTTCTGTTTAGCTTTATGTATCACAAGCAATGAAAATTCTAAATCTCTCTTTATCAAGGCCAACGTATAACATTTTCTTTGCTAAACCTGATCTACATAGATTTATTAACTTAGTTCCTGTATATACCAAGTATGCAAATGACTTTAGACCCATAAAGGATGGCAGAACACAACACAGAAAATTACATCACTTGGGTATATCAATTATTTAGAGCTGACGGAATTGAAGAGGGCACAGGAAAGCACTCTGCCTTCATGCCTCCCTAAAGCCAAGACGCCAGTTTATAGAGGTGTCTTACCCCTGCACCCACAATTCTGTGGCTCCTCCACGCTCTTGCATCTACCTTCCTGTAGAGCCACCTGCTGTCCTGAGCTGGTCCACTGTAAGCTGGGCTTACCCCTTGGGAGTGCAGGTAGTCCATGGTCCTGGCGATGGTGTACAGCACGTCACTGGCCTCCCGCTCTGAGAAGCACCGCTGACGGAGGATTCGGTCCAGCAGCTCCCCGCCTCGCATGAGCTCCATCACCAGGTAAACATACTTGCCATCATCATAGACCTGGAAGCCAAGCGGAAGCAGGCAAAACCTCAGGCCCCCGTATGCCGCCATGGCTGCAGTCCTCAGGCCCCTCGCTATATGCAGGAGCAAGGCCTCCAAGTGGGGCGGAGGAGAGAAGTTGGGGGCTGTTTCCCTAAGAGTAAGATCAAGTTGTAAACGGGTGAGCAGCCATTTCAGCCACAGAAGTGGCTCTTCTTAGAAAGGAATCATCTTTGACACCTTGGGGAGGGGGCAGGCTGGGCCATGCGACACACAGGGGTTGAGTAGGGTTGCCTAGCTGGGGTATGCATATAGAGATGCCGCCAGCCTTTGGCAGGTAGGCACACCATAAAGTGGCAGTGGCAACAGCACCCCAAAGACACTGCTTCTCAACTATCTTCCTGTATGCAATTTGGAGGTCAAGTCAGAGTGTACGTTCTGGCTCTTAGGTCTGCAGGGGATGGGACCTGGCGCTCTGAGGGACACAGCATTTGCCCAGGCTAGCTTTAAATTCACTTTAAAAATGAAAAACAAAACGCAAACTCTGTATATATGAAGGCCTCGTGTGTTTCCCGGGCACCATATGCGAGGGAGCCTGTGCGTGCCTGAGCTCTGGGAAATGGACGCAAATGGGGTGACAGGCCTAAGTGCTTATTCTTAGCCCAGTGATCATTATTTAAGCAACGGATCTCTAGAATAAGCTACTAAAATAATTTACCTGACTTTGACCTGTATAAAAGGTGTGAAGCTCATTTCAGTGCGTTTGTTTTGAGCTTATGAACTCACTGTTCTATTTTGAAGGCGGGAAGACATGCTGTCTCAGACCTGGGCTGCTTGCCTCAGACAGAGCAGAACAAACCATGAAGTGTATGGATTGAGCTGGTTTTGGTTCATGAATTTTACATGCAAACCAAGCATGAACAGTCAGAGCACCACACCTGTGTAGTGAGGCATTTGAGATCCCCAGGAGACACAGCTGGCTCCATCTCAGCTTTTGGATGCAAGGCATTCATTGCTCATGTTCCCTGGGGTTGAACTCTATTCCATGAGCTGCTGCCCAAAGGGACACTGAGGTAGTCCCAGGAGCTACAAGCTCTGCATGCATATCACTGGAATCATTTTGTACTCTAAGAAGTAAGGGCAAGAAGAAGAAATTTTCTTTTCTCCTCACACCCATGCCTGAACTTCAGGCCTTTATGGCGTAGAGTGGTCTCGGACACTGGCTTGATGTGGCTGATTCCTGCTCCATCCTCATTGTCAGAGAAAGCACAAAGGAGGCTATAAAATCTCCACAGCTAGCCTCAGCGGGATCTGCTACCCTCATGCCACTCTGCATGTCAATCAGGAATGACTCGGCGAGGAATAACACTCCTATCCTGTGCGCACAGGCGTTTCCTATCGTATTCTTATGCATGGCATGCTTGAGGTATGCACACACCCAGTTATGTACGTACACCCACGCTGAGGTGACCAGCCACCAAAGTACCAGAGGCCCTTGTGTGGGGAGTGTCTAAGGCCGGTGACCCTGGGCACACTGAACATGGGCAATGTGAGAGAACTTGAACTTTGCAAATGGCGACAGTTTTGCATCAGTTGAAGAAAAAGCCTGAGGTAGGGCTGCCCCACAGAGGCACTTACATCTTTTAGGGTGATGATGTTGGGGTGCTGGCCATACCGCAGGAGGATTTCGATTTCTTCTGAGGGATCCCTTTTGCTTTTGTCAATGATCTGAAACACACACAGCAGTAGCAGTGAGAGGTTTGCTGCTGGCTGTGCTAGGCCATTGCAGATGATGAACTGAGGCCTGACAGAGTGCCACTATAGCTGCTCTCCACCCCCACAGTTCTTAACCAAACTCTCTTAAAAATACTCAGAAATGTAGATCTAGTCTCTCCTGCCTCAGCTAGCAAAAAAAAAAAAAAAAAAAAAAAAAAAAAGGAAACCAGGTTTGTAATTCCAGCTACCAGGGAACATGAACAGGAAGACTGAAAGTTGTCTCAAACTAAAAAGAGGAATGTAGTCAGGAATGTAGCAGCTCCATGGCAGAGCACTGTCTAGCATGTACAAGTCCCCAGGTTCAATCCCCAATACCACAAGAAAGGAGGAGACAGCCTTCAGACATGATCTCAAGTTATCAAAAGGCCAGATGCAATGGGGCAGGCACAGAGAGCTCACCCAGTCACAGTAAACAGCATAACCCGTGTCAGCCACCAAACTCTGTCAGAGTGAGCCTCCAGTCACTGAGCACCCCTGCTTTGTCCTGGGAACCACGGGCCAGCCACAAAATGAGGTAAAGTAGTAGGCCCTCCCTGACAGATGCTGGAGGCCTGGTGGGCGGTGCTTCTCTCCGGCCAGCCAGACATCCCTCTCTCACTGGTTTCCCTCCCCCTGCCCAGTATTTTTCGAAACAGCATTTGATGCTGTTTGACTCCAGGAAGATGGGTGGCTTTCCCTTACATGGTACCCAAATCAAAGCCTGCCTCTGAAATGGAGTCCTTGTGCTACACAATGGCTCTGATGCCACTGAAGGTGTCTATGTTTGTGGGGAGTGCTGTGGAGAGAGATTCTTATGTTGGAAGGGGACAGCACTTAGTTGAGAACCACTCATAAGTCCAGAAATGTCCCCCACCACAACAGCACCCCATGGCCCTGCACATTATCACCATCTAGTCCCAAAGCCGCCCCTCTGACTACTGTAGGTGCCCCCTCCCCGCACTCTCCCTTCACAATACATTTGTGGGCTTAAACACTTTAGTGGCAGATGCATTTTTTTTTCCTTGAAGGCATTTCACGATAAAGCTGTCCACTCCTAACATCCATCCAGTCTCCTCACAAAGGAGCCGGATGCAGACTGTCATGAGGAAGCCTTTCGTCTGCTGCCAGGGACTCCCTTCAAGTTGGAAGGACATCACAGGTGCATCCTCCACTGTCACTGGTGTTAAAAGCAGAGAAGCACCGTGGACAGACACACGCATTTCTCTAAGAAGGCATAAATAACACCGAAGGGAAGAGGAAAATATTAATAACCTTGGCTTCCCACAGAGGAGGAAATGGGTAATGGGGGTGGGGGGTGGAGCTATGGCTGGGTTTCCTCCCAGATAGCTTCTGAATCTGGAATCACGAGAATGTTATCTATTAAAAAGAATTAAGTGTGAGAACACTGTAGCCACCACAAAACACCTGGGACTACAGGTGCTTGATCCGTTTCCTCACTGTAGTATTGGTTTTATTCTTATGTGTTCTTTCTATATAGATTATGTGAAAGAATTCTGATGAACAGTCATAAACAATCCGTTTGTAAAGACCTGAGGATCTCACTGACAGCGGACAGCACCTTAAGACTGTACTAAGAATGAATGTGTATGTTCAGCTAGGAGGCACAGCAGGAGGCCACACTGGTTAATCTTCTAGGCATGGCATGCAGCTGGTCATGAGCACTGACCGTAACGGCACACTGGATATCCTTTAATGGTCTGGTACTTGCAAAGCACCTCCATCAAATGATAAGTGAGTAGGGTATTCTCTCCGGTGGCTGCCGAGCGGTTGGGATCCTTCCATGAGTATCCTGGAGCTGGTTCTACTTCTAACTAGACAAGCCCCGTGGACCAATGCTCTTGGTACTCCTCTCCAGGTCTGAGCTTGATAACAGAGACGGCCACAATCGAAGACAGGAGGACGGGGGGTGGATCTTTCTTCTCTTCCCCAGACAGCATCCCGCCCAGGGGGCACCCTTCCCTGCTGCAAGGGGGTCAGCTCCCTGTGCTTGTGCTGTGCTTCTCTCCCTGCTCAGAGATGCTAAGCCAAGGTGTGCATATGCCTGGAGCAAGTGTGGCTCCCACAACAGCTGTGCAGGAAGACGGCTTTTCTTGGCAGGAGAATCGTGTTTGCTGACGGCTGCTGCTGGTACACAGGGCCTTTTCCCCCAGTTCTCCATCTTCCCTTTCTGTGTCTTTCTCTGTCCTTCCTTGTGCTGCTCAAGCTCCCCATCCCTGGAGCGCTCCCTTTGCAGGTGCTCAGCCAGTTGTGTGCTGGGCCTGGAGGCAGCAGGGCAAGCACCTGGACAAGCAGGATGAGGCCCCAGGCCCAGCACTTCCTTTCACTTGTTGGAAGGATCATACCGAGTCGGGAGCAAGGCAAGTAGAACGCGTAATTACTTGAAAAAACTCTAACAGACATTTTCTCCTGTAAAATTAATTCAAACAAATGACAAAAAGAAAGAACTCCAGTTTTCTCAGTAGGAAAAAAATTAAAATTTCCATGCCAATCAGTCCTTCTAAAAATAAAGTCTCTCCGGGCCAAGCATCTGTTTCATTCTACTTCCTTTCTGGCTGACAAGTTATATACACAGAATAAAACTAAGTGCAGGCATGCAAACACTGTCACACAAGGATGACATGAGGTGAATCCAAACCCTGGCTCCTGCAGGGAGTGAAGCCTGTCCTGTTCTGGGTGTGGTGGCCACATCCTCTGCTGTGGTTAAAAACAGGGTGACAAACAAGCAAACACAGTCGTCATCTGGTCTCTGACAGAGAAGCCAAACTCACACTGGGGATGCTTGGCTGTCAGGATAGCAGAGTGGACCTGGAACCTCATCTCTCATTCCGAACACAAATCAGAGAACTCGATGATGGGGGCAGGCCCTGAGACCCTACCGCTCTGTGGGCAACTAGGAGTAACGAAGAGTTGTTGGCGAGGAGATTCATAGCGTCCACAGATTTGTTGTTCTGGCTCAAGTAAATAACCATGCATCTATTCAGACATAAGATTCAACTCACTGGCCACATGCAGAACAGACAGGGAAGTAGGAGAGAAGGTTCCAGGGGGCAAGAAAGGGAATGGGGAGTGAAAACAACTAAAACAAACCAATTTAAAAGCTTTTAGAGAACAGGGTAACACACACTGTGAAACAACCTTAAGGCTGTCTGTTGAGTTTTTCATTTTCAATTACATCTATTTCTTCAGTTGTTCATGTGTGGGGGTATTGCACAGCACAGAGGACATGTGAAGATCACATGACAATTTGCTGGGGTTGGTTACGTTCTTCCACCATGTAGATCTTGAGACTGGGACTCAGGTCATCAGGCAGCAAGAGTCTTTATATCTGACCCAAACTACAGGCATTTAAGAACAGCAAATGTGCTGCTGAGGGTGCAGTTGCTGGCTCCTAAGGAAACATGCCTGCCACTGACCAGGCCCACCTGGTTCCCCCAAAACTTTTTGGCCACAGGAGAGGGAACTATCACCAAAGAGGTGTCTGTACCTAGGCACACGTGTATGTTTGAGAATGCAGGGGCCAAGAGGAAAGACGATGTGGCGTATGTCTCTGCTGACCCCAGAGCTTTTAGTTAGTCTACTTTAGTTGCAGCTTCCGGTTCTGTGATCAGCAAGAAAAGATGTGTCAGATGCAAACACACGAAGCAGCAGGCTTCCTGAAGGAGAAGTCCACAGGGAGTATGCTCTCTGTTGAACAATGTTCTGAATGCTGAGGAAAGATGATCCAGATTTGAAGGACAGCTCTGGAGTGCATCCCTTTTGATTGACCAAGCACTATGTGATGTGAGTTCAGGCCTCTGTCTGCTCCCAATACAGTTGATGAACCTTCAGAATGGCCTGCCTAGGCTCTGCTCACCACAGTGCATGTTCAGTATGGGTGTGGACACAGGAAACGATGAACTATTGGTATGTCAATCTTTGCAGGAGACCTAATAACAGTTTAACCCTCAGAGAAGTGGACTTACTGCTGCCTGTCAGCACATGGCTTGTGTCTGCTTCTCAGCGATATGTGGACTCTGAACTGTATCTTGCCAAGAAGCCATGGTTTTCTGTGGTCCTGTTTCTTCCAGTGAGGGTTAATTTAAGCATTTTCCAGACAATAAATTATGACCCATTACAGTTCTAGAAAGGACAAACCACCACTTGGTTTTCCCAGAGAATTTCAAAACTTTGCAGGACAAACAGGAACGCCTGGCTCTTTCTTCCACTGGTAACCAGAGACACAATGCCTAGCTTTTCTTCCTGGGGTGTACAGGCTGAGAAGGAAGCTTTCTTTGAGGGTCCACAGGGTCCAACGGGATCTTTGAGGACAGAGTTCTAAGTCCCAACAAAGCTGAAAACAGATGGAGGCTCTCTGCGTTGGAGTTGGATGTGGGAATACCAAAGAGAACATGCCACTGGCCTTGTCACTTAGTTCCGGGCACAGAATTGCACTGAACAACAGCAGTCCATTCCTAGAAGGGCCCTGGGGCTGCCGAGCTGGCCACACAATGGATCTGCTTCTTAGCATTCCCTGGCAACTGTGTTTACTTCTAGGAGTGCTGCTGGCCACGAGATAAACAATCTAAAGAATTTCTGTGAGAAACAGCTCACACAGAGAAATACCAAGAAGCCCACGCAAGCTTGCAAAGCACTGGATTAAAGTCCTTTGGGGTGGGGAAGAACACAGGTCTTATGTAAACCCCTCGCTCTGCACAATCTAGACCCGTGTCTCTGCCACACAGGGGATCCCTCCGTGTGGTGGGATCCCACCACCAGAGTCACTGGTGGTGACTCTGCTGTGTCTTTGAGCGCGTGCTTTCACTGTCATCACCTCAAGGACTCAAGGACTTTTAACCTCCCCACGTCCTCCCTCAATCCTTTCCTTTGCCAACTGAGACTCATCGCCAAACACTAGGCAGAGTGTAGGGAGCCTTGCAGAGGGCTGGGGGGGAGGATAAAAGGACCCAGAGGGGACAGGAACTCCACAAGAAGACCAACAGTCCCAACTAATGTGGGCCAGAGGGGCCTGCGAAAACTGAAGCACCAACCAAGGACCATGCATGCACTAGACCTGGGCCCTCCACACACACACAAACACACACATATATACATATACCCAATTGGCAGCTTAGCTTCCACGTGGGTTCCCTAGAAAGGGGATGGGGGAGTTGTCTCTGACAGGGACTCTGTGGCATGCTTTTCGATCACTTGCCCCTCATGGGGCTGCTTTCTGGGACACTGTGAAAGAGGAGGCACACGGTCCTGATGCCACTGGTTGTGCTAGGGTGGGATTGTGTGGGAAGCTCCCCTTTTCTGAGGGGCAGGGGAAGGGGGATGAGGAAGAGGGAAAAAGAAAGGGGAGGGGAAGAGGGAGGAGCTGTAATGTGAATAACTAACTAAATGGGCAAGCTAAATGTGGAGGGTTCATAAGTAGGGCTCATAAGTTACTCCTTCTATGTTTAAAAACTCCTCATTGAGAAATTAAATGCCAATTTGCCAAAAGGCCACAGACTACTGAGATGTTTGCTTGTTTTGGTCTGCCGAATGCCGTCACAGCCTCAGAAACCTGGGGTAGATGGCCTGTGAAGATGCTCATTCTCTAGAGAAGCTGCTTTTGAGAAATGTCCACCGTTAAGAGACAGCTGCGGATGCCTTGTGCAGTCAGAATGCCCAGCAGCCTTTTCAGAGCGTGGACAGTCACGATTGGTGGAAACCATTCCTGTTATGTCTTGCCTTGCTGGCCAGCTCCACTTCTCACTAGACACTCTCTGGTGAGCTGGGCCAGTGCCGCACGCCAAGCAGAGTCAGCATGACCTATGTCATGGTTGCAAAGGTTTGGTCTTTGTCCCTCAAGTTTTTTAGTGTGTGTGTGTGAGTGTGTATGTGTGCACGCTCACATGCTTGTGTGTGCACACCCCCCACAGCTATGCTGTGGTGGTTGGAGAAAAGCCTCAGGTCTGATCCTCTCGTTCCACCTCGTCTGAAGCAGCCTCTTTCTCATTGCTCAGTTCTGCCCAGGCCAGGCTAGCTGCCTGTGCCTAACGTCTCTGCCTCCCGTCTCACCTAGGAACAATGCAATACAGATGTGTGCTGCACACCTGGCTTTATGTAGGTGGTGGAGACCTGCGGTCAGGTCCACATGTTCTGTAGCAACCAGTCTGCCCACTGAGCCTCCATCAGCCCAGCCCTGTTATCTCCAGTGTTAGGACAAGTGGTGGAGGTTCGACAGCCTCACGGCTGTGTAGACAGAATGCACAGCATGCAATGCACAGTGTGTGCTATTGTGTACGCCGGATCCCGGCTCCAGAATGGAGACGGCTTTAGCTCTTACTAACTAGAAAACCTTAGAAAGCAGCATTTTGGACTCTCAGGTCCAACATTTAGCAACAGCTACGGAGCTGAAAGTAACCACATAGAGCTTGCTATGTTGGATTAGAGGCTCCAGGAAGTGCTACACACTGGTTGGAGGCAACGCCTCGGTGTCTGGTGTTTGACTTTAGTCTATATCTCTATTCACTTCCTGGATCATTTCCCCACAGCTATATCTTTCTTTCTTTCCCTCCTTTGAAAAATGCTACGCCTGTTCGCCCAATTCCATTTTCTTAGACGCTGGGTGCCCAGGGCTATTATCCTTGGCATATGCTATACTTACTTACTCATCTGACTGGGTCCACGATGGACATAACTGAAATACTTATGGTTTGGAAAGATTTTTTTTTCCCTTTGAGATAGGGTCTTGCGGTGTAGGCCGGGCTCATCGGGAACACTCAGCTCCCCTGCCTCAGTTTTCTGAGCGCTTTGGCTACAACTGTATGCCACCACATCCAGCTTGAAAATAATTTTTTTCTCTGCCTCAGTTTCTCTCCCCCCTCTGACTTTCTCTCTCAGAGCGCCTTACCCATCCCCCTTCTCTTCTATGCTCTCCCACTGTCTGTCTTCTGTCTTTCTCTTTCCACCTCTGTACAATAAATGTCTTCGTACAAAAAAAGGAAGAAAAAGAGTTTTTAAATGGATGACCTCATATCTAAATAAGCTGAAGTCAATCTCTTTGGATCTTAGAAACTATGGATGGAGGGAGGCAGCTCAGCATCCGTGTTCCTGCTGAGTTGCTAGCCGGCTCGGTTAGAGTGTCAGCACCCGCCTTACCTTCACAGCATACTCAGCAGCGGTGGCTTTGTGCACACACCGCTTGCACACCGAGTAGGAGCCCACCCCGATGTCCTCCTTGATCTCGTAGCCATCGGTGAAGTGGATATTGTTCCCGTGTAACTGCTGCAGAGAGGCAAAGACAAGGGTGGTCAGCGCCTTTCACAAGGTGCACGTGGCTACACACACACACAGGATTACAGGGTGGTCAGCACCATGTCACAGCGGTGCACGTGGCTACGCACACACACACACACACACACACACACGCACAGAGAGAGAGAGAGAGAGAGAGAGAGAGAGGAGTGGTTAGCATTCTTTCACACAGGTGCACATGGCGACACACACAGATCCAGGGCTCCAGGGCCCCTGGGAACTCAGGAGCTTGAGGAAACTGAGAGCTCCTTGTCCAATGTCACAGAACTATGTGTAGATGGTCCCTAACATTTGGACACCTGGATATTATGTGTCCACTGAGCACTCATTTTTCTCCCAAAGATCCGTGGAAGTGAGAATCTATGGCGTAAGGAGGCAGAAGTACCTAAATGTGGCCACAGCGTGATCTCCAGTGTAGCTGCATAGAGCACCAACCTCAGAAGTATAGGCTAGTTCTGGCCTGTGTGTACAGTGCCCCCTTGCCCACTCTGAGAAAAAAAGCTCCATAGAGGAAAAAAAAAAGCCACAGAGAGATAAATGCCAGGGAAAGCCGGTGCCATCTAATTATGCTGAACAAAGACATCAGGTGCCTGAGTGAGTGTACTCCTAATGCTTCTGAGTTCTCTGAATTCTAGTTACAGCCCTATAATGACAGAAGTCTAAATAATGTCCTCACTGACCTCCCAATGACATGGCACCCATAGTTCACACAGAGAAGATGCCCAAATCTGCCCAGAGTGACCAGTGGTGCAGATATCTGTGGGGATCCTCTCTTCAGTTTTACTCCGTCTTAAAAATCAATGTGTAATGGACCAGTCCACCAGGAAGATCACCATAGTAACAGAAGATCTCCCTCTAGAGACAGCGAGAGGTCTACCCACTGCTGGCACCCAGCACTGAGCTGGTAAAAGTCCACAGGGTTTGCCCGGCCAGGCATCAAGGCCCTGAACCGAGCTCCTGGGGCAAGCAGACTTACCTGCACAATCGGATGAATGGGGGCCTTGGGCACATCCTGCTGTGAGGGCTCCTGGACCAGACTGGAGGCCACAAAGCTGAATCCTCTGAAGAGGTGATGGGCATTTGCACTTGGGGGGACACCAGGGGAGTCTGTGGATGAGCAATGCATGGTTGACACTTGAGGAGATCCAAGTGAACCAGGGCAGAACAATGTGTGCACATGTGCGCATGTGCCGGAGAAGGCATACACGCACAGAGGCAGACACACATGAGGCTACTTCAGGTGCTGCCAAGAGCCTGACTCGGCCAACACGTGTAACACGAAAGTTTTCAGATAATCACCGACCACATGTTTTAAGGTTACTGACTTTGGAAGTTACTGAATATTCCTTAATACAATCCACCACCTCTCCCAGCTCAAGATCAAGGCAAAAAGCTGCCAGCAGTTCTAGGTGGGGCTGCCAGAAAGCAGGAATGCCAATCACTGAGCAGCTACTTTCTGGGTTAGGAAGGTGCTGGGCCCCTAAAGGCAATAAGAGAAAAGTCAAGAATCTCCCCAGCTCCACGTTCACCTGTAGCCACTACCTCTGCCTGAGGCCCAGACCACAGACAACACAGCCCCTCCACAACTGCACAGCTCTATGCCAAGGCCATACTACTCTGATCCTTGAGGACATGAGGACAAAGTCACCATTGCCCACATCCAGCTGATGAATGCAAGGAATGGTATATATATATATATATATATATATATGATATTGCACTGTGATTCTCCTAAGTTCCATGAGGTCTGTCTAAAAGCATGACTATTATGATCTTTCTCCACCGGGTTCACCATTAGGTAAACAGGACGGTAAGACTGACTGGCTGGGAGAAATAGCTGCATATATATGACAGACAAGAAGGAGCAAAGGAAGCCACCCCTAAGGACACTGTGTCTGGGGGTGCTCAGGCTCTCAGGTGAGGGGGCCATGTGCTTACTGAATGGGGTGACACGAAAGCCAAGGACTCTGTAAAAGTGAGTGCAATCAACCACATCTGGGTTTGGCCAAAGGACAGCAACCTCAGAGCCGAAGAAGGGAGCTTGAACTGACTGTCCTCTTAGAAGAAGGGGGAAGGGCAATGGCCCCTGCGCTTTCAAAGGCACATGGTCCTCTGAAGTGCCAGCCTGCATCTAGGGATTTAGTCCTTAGAATTACTTTCAACGGTAAACGAGTATAGAAAATGTTGTCTTTAGCATTTTTTGTGACAGCAAAGAAACAAAGCCAACATACGTGCAACTGTTAAGGACATCACAGCCACAATTAGGGACAGCCTTCCCATATGAGAATGTTTTATTGCTGCTGCTGCTGCTGCTGCTGCTGTTGCGGTGTGTGTGTGTGTGTGTGTGTGTGTGTGTGTGTGTGTGTGTGCGCGCGCGCACACTCCTGCATATTCTGGAGTCATTTACCCAGAGGAGATGAAACTTCTGCCTTTTTCCTGTGCCCTTTCCTCCCCTTCCAGTCCTTTACTTTGACACAGAGACATGGTGGGTAGGAGAGTGGGGAAGGGAGAGGAATCTGAAGAGGAAGTGTATTTTTTGTTCCTTCACAGTCTGCTTTGGGTACAGGGTTGGGGGGGGGGGCAGCTGCTTCACAGCTCAGGGACAGGCCAGTGAGCTGGGAGGGGCCCTGATCCCAGACTGGGCCTGGCTGTAGCTAGGTAGAAACACCCTGCCATGTGCTTCACTGGGGCAGAGATGCCAGTGCATCTTATGGGGCAGGAAGCTTCCTGGATACAGGTCCATCTTAAGACTCCCGGAAAGAAGAGGAACAGACCCAAGACTTGCTGCCTTGCAAAGAGGCTCGGTCTCCCACATAGATACTTCTGTGACCCTAAATTAATGTGACCAGGGATGACTGCTTGGAAATAAGCTTCAAATGTGCTAGACTGGGGAACGTTAGTTAAAAGGAGAGCATGCACTGCTGTTTTTAGAATGTGAAGTTATGCACAGCGAGACACGCAATGGCAGCGTGCAGTTTAATGTAGACTGGCTCCCTCCCTCGACATGGGCCCTGTGGATGGATGCGCTCCTCAGGTGCTTCAATTTTGTCTTTCTTTTTCCAGCATGAGAGTCTGGCTTTGAAGTCTGTTCTCTTGCCTTTTCTTAACACTAAGAGACTGAGCTGAGGAAAAGAGCTTAACAATGGGTATGCCCATCTTAGGGATATAGGCTTAGTGTGAAGAACTTGGGCCATCTAGGAACTCAGTGAGCCTGACAGTGGTGAGGGTATAGACCAGGGTCTGTTTATTGCACACACGCGCGCGCGCGCGCGCGTGCGTGTGCGTATGTGTGTGTGTGTGTGTGTGTGTAGGAAACAGGTCATATTAACTTGAACTGGTACATAGTTAGCAGTAAGAAAATGCAGATCAAATCAGGAATGTTTTTCAGCATTTGCCTCTCTCGGAGGTACAAGAACGGCCAGTCTGCTGAAGTGCAAAGAGGTCTTTCTGTGAAGCTGAAGAACCTGACATTTGGTTTTTGAGGCTCAATGGTGAGCAAATGGCAGGTCATAGAAGTGGAACCTAGAATGCTTTATACTCGGATAGGAGGCGCTGAATGCCAGCATAGTAACAGGAGAACAAAATTCCGAGTTAAATTTAAAAGGTAAAGCTTTAAAAGCAGAAACAACCTTTGGATGTTCTCTGCCTGATGGATAGGCTTTCAGACCTTCCACTGGCATGCTCTGCTGTGTGACCGACAGGTGATCAGGACACATAAGCTAGATGGCCTCACTTTAATCAAGACTTCAGATAGTCCACCCCAAGAAAGGCCCTTGCTGCATGTAGACTGTCTCAGAACCCCATCACCACGGCTGCTCTTTGACTTGGAGGTATATCAGCAATCCTGTTGGGAAATTCTTACCCCGATGTCAACATCAGAGTGGCTTCTCTGCACTTTTAGCACTGGCATTACTGCCTCCCCTAGAGGCAAACTCTTTGGCAAAGATGTCTTAACTTAGTATCTGAACACATTACAATGCTAAGGAATGACATGAGCCGGCTGTAGACACGGGGTTGAATGCACCATGTCTGATGGGTTTCCCCTGGGCTCATATGAAGATCAAGCATCACTTTCTATGCACAAAAGGCTTCGGGTCACTTGGAGCTGCCTGCATTAGCGCTAACATGAAGCCTCCTTCACGTGACAGACTCACGACGATCGCTGCCCTTCCCACTGAGGCCCTGATCTCCACGTCCTGGCGGAGGAGTCTCCTGGCTCACAGGCCATCTTCTCCCCCAGGGAAAATCGCTTTTGTGTTTGTTCACCTGCAGGTCAGATGCAGGAGGATTCCGCAGCCGCTCAGATGCCCGTTGGGCTCTGACTTGCTGACCTCAGCAGCTGAACAGAAGTGCTCCTCTGTGGACAGGGCCCCACAGCCCTGTCCATCATCACACAGGAGAGGACACGCCCAGCTCCCGGCCCAGCCCAGCAGGGTGTGTGTAAAGACATCGCTCCAGACCCGTCCCCAAGGGAACAGGGTGGGGTCTCCACCCCACTTCTCCTGACTTGAGACTCGTGGTTGCTGATGGCTAGTTTCTAACAACCATATAACATTTCCTATTTGAGAGTAGTGAAAAACTCCAAAGAATCTCTGTTCAGGGACTGGAGAGATAATTAAGAGAACTGGCTGCTCTTCCAAAGGTCCTGAGTTCAATTCCCAGCAATCACTTGGTGGCTCTACAATGAGATCTGGTGCCCTCTTCTGGCCTGCAGGTGTACATGCAGGCAGAATGCTGTGTAGATAATAAATAGATGATTCTCAAAAAAAAAAAAAAAAGAATCCCTGCTCAGCCATCAGCAGATCCCGTAACAACCGACTGAACTTACTCCCGAGTCTGCAAGGGGCTTAGCCACTGCCCTGCATGTCCCCACACTATCATGGAGCAGTGCCCACCGCCCTACCCACAGTCAGCTGTGTTTGCAGACAGGGTCCCCATGGGAGAAGTCAAAGTTAAATGAGGGCAGGGAGTGGGCCCTCCTTCCACAGGACTTGTGTTCTTACAAGAAGAGGAAGAAATGCCAGCACCCTCCAGCTTTTCCCATCCACAGGAAAGGCCATGAGGGGACACAGCGAGGTGGCCAACTCTAAGACAGAGAGGCCTTACCAGGAATAGACCTTTCTGGCAACTTGACCTTGAACCCAGACTCCAGCACTTCGACATAACACCTCTTGCTAAGCCACCCTCCCGTGTTATGACATCATGTCGGTCTAAGACAATGACAGCATGCAAAACAGTAAACCAGAATGTTAAGGTTTAAAGGGAGCTGACCAGCTATAAGAGAACTACACAGACCCCAGAGGTCTCACATAGCATAAAGCTAAGTTTCTGTGCTGATCTAGCTGCACTGCATCCATCATACAGGGCCCAGCTTTTAGAAATAATAACTTAGTTCATAAGCCCAGAGTCCTAAAGACAGCCTTCTTCTTCCACACATCAGAGATGTGAACTACCTATCTCCTTCCTGTGTCTTGCTTGTGTGGCTCTGGGAGGACTGTCACTGCCTAGTGTCTCATGAGGGAGGGGTCCACAGAACCCTGATTGCTTCTGAAGTGGATGTCACACGAAGAGTAGTGAGATTCGGCTCTACCACTGACCCCTTCCTGCTAGGAGAACTCAGGAAGACCAATAGGACTGAAGGTTCCTCCCTGAGGGAACACCCTTTAAACAGGCTCTCTGGAGGCAGACGGGACCAGCCCAACCGAGAAGACGTGACACACACCTGTGGGCGTCCTTGCAGTAAACTCGGGGTCAAAGTGGAAGGTATCCTCAGGCCTGCCCACTGCTGGCTTGAAGGGCGGCTTGATCTCCTTGCGGTACAGCTTCTGCAGGGAGAACAAGACAGATCCTGAGACCAGGCTGAGGAGATCACAGAGAGCAGAGGCCACAAGAAGCTCTCACACTTCCGAGATGTATGAGGAGGAGCAACCCAGTCGCATGAAAGACCATATACGAGTGTAGAAACTGCGTATCAGGTGTGAATTACAAAGGTGTAGTTTGAGGGTAAAAGGTCTGAGGTCTGCTGAACATCCTTCAGTTCAGGGCAACAGTTTTCCAACTTATTTTCGGCTGCAGGATTTTTATCTCCGAGAAAACATTACAGGTTGGTCATGCATGCTGCTGGCTGAAGGGTTACCACCTTGGGAGCCACCTTCAGGTCTCTGGGGGCTGTGAAAACTGAGGCCCAGAAAGCCCCTTGCTCACAGAGATCTTCCCTCTGCCTTGGCCACTGGCAAGACACAGATGTCCAGGATAGATTCCTCTCAGACCTGCTGCTGGACTCAAGACACACGCACACACTTTTTAAAAATCCAAAAACAAAAGGATTCAAGCAAGAAAGGACCTGGGATTTGGTATTTGGGGTCAACACTTTGGGGAGCCCAATACCCTTGACTAGGAGGATCAGATGGCCCTGGTTCCCTTGGCTCTTCCAAGATGTGGTTTCAATCATCTGTGGAGACGATAGTGGATGAGGTAATTTAAGGACAGTGCACACATATCTGTGATCTGGCAAGGTACCTGTGGACATTGTAGATGGTGAAGAGCTAAGGGTACTGGCTGAAAGCCAAATCCCAGGCCCTTTCTTGCTTGAATACTTTTTGTTGTTGTTGATTTTTTTAAAGTGTGTCTGTGTTTGTGTGTGTCTGTGTGTGTGTTTACAGAGGGTCTTGGTATGTAGTCTAGGCTGGCCCAGAATTTGCTAAGGAGCCTAGGCTGGACTTGAACTTCTCATTTTCCTATCTTAGTTTTCTGAGTGTTGGGGATGCAAGCGTTTGATACCATGCCCAGCTCCCTTGGTACTTATGGTGAGGGTTTTGGGGTCCAGCTTTCCAATTGGAGACTCACTGACTAATCAGGTTCAATACAACCCATGACAAGGGAAAGCCAGACCTATCACCTTACCAGGCAGGGAAACTGAGGCTAAGAGATACAGTATGTTGTTCAAGGCCAAGGGTGAGTGGGTGGATCAGAGAAGGAAGAAGGAGATAGACTCCAGACCCTTTTAAAAAACATTACATGCTCAAAACACAATGGTTCTGGAGAGCACTGCACCAGGCCCAAAGGGAAGGGGGCGGCAGGTGGCTGACAGCTAGAGCTTGGCCTGAGGGTGGGTGAGTGGGTATGAAAACAGCAGTATGGCCTCACATCCAGTGTGATCAGACATGCATAAGCAGCACCCAGGTACCCGTGGGAGCTGTGGAGAAGCAATAATTCATCTCAGCTCTGAATTAGAATTACTTTGTCATCTCACTCTGGTGGATGCCTCTCATTAGGACCAGAGAAACAAAGAGCCCATATTCTATGGTGATGCCAGTTCAGTTGGGATACACATCTCTATCCAGGTATCTCTTGGAGAAAATCCTACAGCAGGAACCTCTGACCAGAACCCAGGCCTTGTCAGGGCCTGGGTACCTCCTATTCCTGTCCAGAAACTTCTGGTTACATTGCAGGTAGGCTACTGAGAGCATTAACCTGCTGGAGGAGAAGCCACCTCTCCATCAGAGGGTAGTGGAAAGTGGGAGGGGGTTGGGAGAAAAGGGAGGGTGGGAAAGGGGGAGAAAGAAAAAGGGAGAGGCAGTCCATCTACGAGAGGCAGGGTTATGACTTTTATATTCAAGAGATTTCCATCACAAAGACACAACAGACACAACACAGCTGCCACTTAAGTCTGAGAAGCAGCTTTAGCTAGAAATGCTGGAGCTCACGGGGGCCATTTTATTTGACCCCTCAGCTCATAGAGCCCTAGGTAGGGAGAAGGCTGAGGTCTCACCTACGCCTGCCTAGCTTGACAGTGGTTAAGCAAACCATTCCTCGGTCGGCCCTCCTCCCCCAAAGGGATCCTCCTCAGCAGGATGCTGGTAATGCCTAGTGGTTGTCCTGTGCGTGTGTACGTGTGCCACTGTAACTTGCTCAAACTGCACCCATCTCTGGACAGTCCATAACAGAGAGCATCACCCCAAGGGGCCATGATACCCACATGCCTGGCTTGGCTCAGCGATCTCACTCCTCTCTCCTTCTGTCTTTTTCGGTCCACCCATCAACACTGTGACTGCACAGTGAGGTTTGTGAAGAAGCACAGTGAGGTTTGTGAGTGCTGGACGGATCTTGTACATCCCTTGTCACCCCTTTCCTCCCTACAAGGAGCACTGAGGTGGGCAAAGCTGGCTGTGGGTCTGTTACCCAATGACGGATGGGGCACACAGGCTGCCCAAGAAAGCCCAGCTTTGTTTCCAGATGTTCTGACACTTTCTTGATCCCAATTCTTCCATCTGCTTTTATCTAGTAGAGCAAAGGTTCATGCCTGGAGGCTTTACGTTAGTTATCTAGGCTGAAACGGGAGTGACTAGAGTCCAGTTCATAACCCAGCAGGGTGTTGAGAGATCTCTGAGTTGAGAACATCTCTGACAGATGGAGGAGGCAGATGGTCCAGATGAGGTATGTATGTGCTTCTCCCTGTATTACACTCAGCTCACTCCTCTGCCCTTCATACACCCCAGAGGCCAGTACTGGAGCCACCAGTGGACACTACTGGATGATCAAGGACTGAGGTGGCCACACATCGCATCTGTGTGCTTGGAACAGCAGGTTATATAAGGCATGCTGGCAGACATATACTCTCATGTCCTTTATGAAGCCTGATCCAGCTACAGAGGCAGAAGGGGACAGGTGGGAGACTGGGCAGAACACCCGCCAAAGGACACACACCTTTCCTATGGCAGGGCCATCCGTGGGTATCATTGCTAGCAGCATGTTCTGGGCAGCCTCCATACTTCACTCCCTGCTCTGTGCTAGAGTGACCTAGATACTTCTCATGATCTTGGGAACAGTTCTGTGTCTCCTTCTTGCTGCACAAACATTCTGGAAGGTGCTCATATGTGCTTTCATTACACATGGTGTCTGATGTGGCTCTGAGGGTGGCCTCTGTAGAGGACAATTGTGCTTTTGTTTTTTGAGTATGAATTGCTGTGCACAGGTTGACGTGAGGGTGAATGTTCACAGCATTGTGCCCAGGCACTGAGCTTGGCCAATGTCTGTCATTCTGAGATTCTGGAATAACTCATGTCCACCCTGAGGCAGAGAGAGAAAAGCGGTACCTCATGGTCCAAAAGTGGTACCTCATCATTTTAAATCACCTCATTTGTCCCTCAGCATCAAGATGCATACTGAGAATTTTTGGTTTCTTTAAAAAACACAGAAATGTTATGGGAATATGTTTTTGTTTTAATCCCAGGTGTGGGATGTGGGGCTGCTTCAGATTGTCCACAGCAGCTGACAAGCAAGGGCATGATTTTGCCAGCTGCAGATAGTTTCTGCAAGTGTATATCATTTGGAATTCTGGGGACTCTTGAAAGGGCCTGTGGCAGAGGGGCTGCGGCTGCTGCTCCTGCCATCGCTGCTGCTGCTGCTGCTGTTCCTGCTGCTGGCGGTGCTTGCTGGTTGCTGTTGTTGTGATTTTTCAAGTCCTCCATGGGCAACGAGATGAGAAGAAATTGAATATCTTGATGGCAAAGATCAAACTTGCCCAAAGAAACTGCTGCCCCTAGCCAACAGGAAGTAGTCTAATAATAAAGAATCCCCCTTTCCTCTCTATCCTTCTTTTTCTTCTACCTAGTGTTGGGGGATTGGAAGGGTAGAATAAGAGTAGAGAAAGGTGGAAGAGAGTAAGGAGCCCCTACAAAGTGGCAAACAACGGCTACAAAGATGACATCAGCTTGGCATTGCCATCGAGACGGGGTTCACACTGCACATGTGCTGAGGAGGCTAAGCAGGCACGTCAGGGTTTACATATACCCAAGAGGCCTTGTTGGAAGTGAGCAAAGGGCAGGAAGTGCAAAACAAAAATGGAGAATGCCAAAAGAACATGCAAGCGGCTCTACTTTGGGATCACAGACCCTGACATCTGTTTAATGCAGTTTGGGCTCAGGCATTTAGAAAATAACCCGCCTCAAAGAGCGAAGGACACACAACATGTGCCATTTCTTAAATGGCAATGCCAACATGTGCAGGCACAGAACGATGGCAGGATGGAAGGAACAGGGAGGATGGAGATGGCATCCAGGGCATCGTGGACGGGCTGTGCCGGTGAGGAAGAACACTACCTCTACAAACCTACCCAACCCAAGTGCTGCTGCAAGCTATCTGGAGCTACAAAGGCCCTCGACAGAAGGAACTGTGACCATCATCATCACGGGGGCTTTGGAGGAGTGAACTCTCCTGGTGCACTCAGCACAGGGGGAAAGCAGCGGAAATCTTCCTTCCTGTGGCAGTGGGAGCAAGAGCACATGGTGAAAACCAGCTGAAACCACAGTTATGGAAACTGTGGTAGACTACCACCCTGGACCTGCTCCAGCCAGTACACAGGACAGCCACGGGCCCCGAGCAACAGACGACCACACACAGAGCCGCCGAGGTGCTCTGCTCTCAGTTTCTCTTCAGACTCCTTCTCACCTCACAGAAAAACAGACGATGTGCTGGGCTGGAAATGTAACAAGCACCACAAGCATGAGTCACTGGCATTCGTAGTTAACAGGGATGGTGCCACGCCTGCAGGCACATCCGCCAAATCCTTCTTATGCCGAGAGTCTGTGCTTTGGCTTTGGATGGTGGTCTGGAAACGAGCGATGTGGCAACTCCCTCCACTCTGCCACCCTGGGAATGAATCTGGTGAAGTATTGTTCTCTTCCCATCCGAGTGCTGTCTTACCCTGGGTCTGGCTTGCTAGAAGCCGGCTGGCTAGATGCCAGCGTGGTCAGGCTTGCTTAGCCTGTGAGGTCACCTTTTCTGTTTATTTTGGGTCTGTGCTAATCCTGAGTCCTCAGCATCGCTTCAGCCACCAGGGAAAAGTAAACACAGCTTACGTTTGCCGGCTGCACCATCTCCTGCACAAGCTTCCTGGTCTATAATTAACTTGTAATTTTTCACTTAGCTAGGCAAGCAGCATGGGTGTTCAGAGGGCAGATCTGGAGCTGGCATTAATGTTCTGCGGGCAGAGGGCAAGCAGAAAGGCAAGGAAGCCACAGAGACCTGCCACCCTCCACCTGCTCCAGCGAACACAGCTAAAACCTATACTTCTGTGCTGGCAGGTCATTAGATCCTCAGGGGACAATTGGGACTGACGTTACTTAAAAAAGGAGAGAGAGAGAGAGAGAAATATATGCTGGTAATTTGGGGGTCACAGAAGGCGGCGGTGAGCAAAATAAGTAAGCTGTTCTTTTCTCAGCAGCATCGTGAGGCTGCGCCTGGATCAAGCCCAGAGGCAGAAATCTAATGCCAGTAAATGTCTTTCGTCTGTCACTCATGGATGGACTGTGGAGGGGCCTGGGAGAGACCCTCTGGTGAAGCTTCCCTGAGAACGTGGGACCTCTGTGGTTTTCAGTGATCTGAGCTGCTCACACCTTGAAGGTGCACAGGACATACACACTGTCCTCTTTCCTCCCTTCTCCCTCTCCTGGCTCCTTCCTCCTTGCTTCTGTTTTCCCTGAACAGGGCACTCACATACTACTGCCACGGCTGAACAGCCACCTCATGGCGCACCAGATCTCACCCCGCCCCTCCAGGACAGGGCCTCTTCTCATCACCATCACTTCTACTCCATCCGGGCAGGCCACAAACATTGCTCAAGGCTAGATGAATTAACATGAAGGCAGGTCTCTGGGCTCCTCTATGTAGGCCTATTCAGTAGAGCACTGGACGGAATACGGTTGCCATCCCTCCAGGCTCTGCTGCGTACTGTCTGTCAAGGACAGTGTGAAAGTAAACATATTTGGTCCTAGTGACCCAGAGGGGCCTATTTTAAAGCCAAACAGAATACAAACCAAATGCAAACAAATAAACAAACAACTCTTCCCCACATTATCCCAGCTTGAATTACTTTCAATGATACAGAATCGCTCACTTCGGGAATCTATCGTCTATGTTTGCACTGAGGGGACATAGTTCCCCAGTGACAGAGAGGCGGTTGGGAGCTCTGAGCCTGGTGTAGTCTATGGAAGGTGTGTCCCATGGACCTAGCCTTCTACAGCACACGATAGTCCAGCCTTGGCCCAGGGCAGTGATCAGCTCTATTGTCACCTTGACACAGTGAGGAGGATCACGTGGAACAAGTCTCAGGGAGGAACTGTCTACATTGGGCTGGCCTGTGGAAGACTGTCTTCATTAACTTCATCGATGTGGGAAGACTCAGCCCATTGTACGTGGCATCATCTGCTAGGCAGGGAGTCCTGAACTGTGTTAAGAGTTGAGAAACTGAGCGGTGAGCAAGGTCAGAAGCAAGCCAGGGAGTTGCCTGCCTTGTTTCTCCGTGACTGTAGATACAATGTAACCAACTGTCTCAGTTCCTGTGGCCTTGACTTCCCAGCAACAATGGGTCATCACCTAGAACTGTGAGGCAAAATAAACCCCTGAAATCTCTAAGTTGCTTTTTCCCCAGTTACTTCAGCAAAACAGAAATAGAAGAGGACTGCGTTCCAGACTCTTCTGCAGCTCAAATCCTAGGAACCTCATTATACAGACCTGTGCTCAGTGCCTGCTCTAGGATGTTCTTAGATTGTCATTCATCAATGTTCCTTCTCTGACAGATCCTCTGAGGGGGTGCTACCTGGGGCCACCACCAGTGGGCATGGCTGGGGACTGCCCTTTTCTTTCCAGGAACAGCTACTAGGACTTCCACTTCAAACCATCCCCATGTCAGCAACTCCCTGCCCCAGCCCCCACCTGACTCAGCAACTCCCTTTCTACTCCTCAGCAGGGTGTTTGGAAGGAGGGCAGAATATACCTACGATAGGGAACGGGGTGGGGCATCAGGTAATGATTCTTCACAGGCACCAACCTGGCCTGAGAGACTTCTCACCTATGACTGCCCCTCACTCACTCAGTGGCTCTTCCGCCCTCCCTTCTTCTCTCTCTAGTTTCTCCACATCACCTCCCTCCCTCCAAGGCAGCTTTCTGGTGGCTCCCTGGCCTGTTTAGAGGCCTCGGTTAATTCTTCCAGGCCAGCAGTCCTGACTTCCACAGGCTCACACAGAGCCTGACAGAAAGGAACACTTATCACAAAGCTCGGATTTATGTGGCAGATTCAAAGCTAATGGGGCATGGGAACAAGGGTCAGGAGCACAGGGCAGGTTTCCTATGGTGACAGAGATGATGACATTGAAGAGAAGACTGGGAGGACAGAAAGTGAGAGGCTTGGGAAAAACAGGTCCAGGAAGATGGACAGTGGGAAGAGTGGAATGGGTGGGCTTGGGGCTTCGTTCCCCTCCCACCTTCCTACTTTTCCACCAGTGCCCTTTTATGCAATCTTCTGTGCCGCAACACTAGGTCATGTGACCAGTGTCTCTCTCTCCCAGTGAAGTCACTGGATCCTCCAGGTAAAGCTCTCCCACAATATGCTTAGTCCCAGCCCAGGAGGTACCTAAAACATAGAGCCTCGGTGTGCATGCTTGAGTCAATGAATAGAACGATACATGCAAAGAAAAACCAAGGTGTGGCCCCTAGCAGGGAGAGGAGGTGCCACCCCTGAGGGATGGCTTTCACACCCCACATGCTATGCTGTGCTGATCATTCCTAATGTGAGACCTATCGCCAATGAGGCCTGTCTATGTCTACTGGCCAGTCTCCACAGAGAGGTGTCTCCTCAGCTCACACAGCCTGAATGGGAGCTGGGGAGCCTGTTGGTGGGTGGAGGGGGAACTTTGGTTTTACTTCTGCAAGGTCCCATCCTCTTCTGCTTTGGAGGAAGATGGTCTGATTTGTTAAGTGCTCTCTGCACACCTGCTCGGAGATACAGCCACCCTGACAATCTGCCTGCTTCCCTCTGACCTTCCCTGGGAGAAGATGTCTTACTCAAACAAGTTCTGTAATCAGATCTGCAGAGCCACAGACTCTCTGACTTGCCTGGTTTGGATTAGGCTCAGGTGGCATGTTCTCCAAGGTAAGACAAGTGAGAATATAAAAAAGGAGGGTGGGCAGAGAGGAAGGTAAACCTTACACACTAGATGCATTTTGCTTCTGTCTTTGTTTTTTTTTTTTTTTTTTTTCCCAGTGCTGAAGATAGGGCCCAGGACCTTACGTATAATGTAAAAGCGCGGTGCCAATGAGCTATACCCAGCCTGATGTTTAAATATTCTGTTAAAAAGTCCTCTTGGATTAATTTAAAATAAGGTCCCATGTGTGAGGATGTTGTATGACACAGCATAGACAGACTGTCAGATGCAAGTCACCCCTGCAAGCCTGTCTGTCACTGGCGTGCCTTCTGCCTCAGCATGGCTGGGGAAGGTGTAAGATGATGGATGCTGAGGATCCAATGGGCGGCGGCACTAGGGAGGAGGGCTTAGGACTGAGAGTAGGAGCTCACCAGTTTGCACCTCTCTGGGGAGCCAGCCATGTTGGGCATGCTCACTCACGGGTGGGTGGACAGTGTTTGTCTCAGACTCTTAGTGTAGACAGAGAGGCCATGTGCACCGAGCAGCAGCCGTGTCCCTCCGCCCTCTCCTTGCCCCCGAATGCAACTTACATTCCAGTCTATGGTGACAAAGAAAGGGTGCCGCTTAATCTCCTCCACTCCATCGATGCCGGCACCTGTCACAACACAGCAGAGAACATTCGTCAGTGCAAGCCCAAGGCCACGTGTCATCCCTCACTGCTACTAACGCAGCTGTGTGATGGATGAGAGGGCACACTGCAGGCCAAGTCCTGACTTGGTCTTTTTTTTTCCAAGAAGAAATCGCCAACTTGCCCTTGGCCTCAGAGCCCGGGAAGCCCCCATCTGACTCCAAGACTTGTGATACAGATACACTCTGAAGCAGAGGTGATAAAGGAAAGGTGGTGTGTCAGGACCAGACTTCCTGCTCCTGGCACAGGGATATCTGGAGAGGAGCAGGTGGCAATCATGGCCATAGACCATGGTTACAACACCCAGAACACAGCATCTGGCCAGGTTCCCAGGACTTGACAATGCACAACAGGGCCAGAGGGTATTGCATTGAGCGCCTGGCCAGGTCACTGTAGCATTTACCAGGGGAAGAAAGAATCTCAAGAAAGGAAAAGGAGAGTGGGTAGGACCAAGTACCAGATGTGAAACCTGGCCTGGGGTCCTCTCTACCACACCCAACCCTTGCACAACCATCATTGTCAGCTGGGTCTCAGTTTGTGGGTCTCTGATCTGTCCAACCATTGTGTCTACCTAAGTTCTCCTCTTTGTTTCTATCAAAATCCTAAGCTGCATGCTGCAGGCGTCGTCGGCAGGAAACAGAGGCTGTCTGTGTCTGTGAGATCACTGAGTGTGTCACTCAGCACCAGAGCCAGCCTGGAGTGAACGGTGAGTTCCAGGGGAATAGTACGAGTGTGTTAATCAACTGGCAAACATCCAACACCCACCGAATGTGAACCTGAGTGTCTGGCAGGGAGGGGGTGGGGGTGGAGGAGAGATGACACATGACTTGCTACATGCTCCGTTCAACCCTTCTTTAAACTTGAGGCTGCTCTAAATAAGGTCTATTAATTAAAAGCAAGGCCCAGGAGCTCCTGTTTTCCCTAGGACTGGAAGGTAGGCAAGGAGCCCAGGCTCTGCAGCCTTGAGTCAGGGACAGAGCTAGTCTCAGGAACCGAACCATATGAGTCTTGTCAGTTCCTGTCCCAGGGTAGGAAATGAATGCCGGACATCCCCCCCACCAATCATACACACACACACACACACACACACACACCGTACTCCAACCTCCTCCTGGCCTAATGGTTCTGGTCAGAATCAGCTGGTCCTCTTGAGTCCTCCCCAACTCAGTCCAGGTACCTTCCGGAGCCCTACAGAGGGGCTCCTTTGTAAGACAGCCCTGAGCAGGGTGCCGTGGAGGGTGCTGTGGAGATGCTGTGGTGACCTGTCCTAGCTGGAGTCTCTGGGGGTGGAGCCATATGTACCCCATGACTCAGATGCTGACCCGTCTGCTTTGCTCACAGCAGGGGCATGCATCACCTCCCACCTCTCAGGCAGCTTGGCCATGCCTTCGCTTGGAAAGGTCTGATTGGGCCAGCCACACCAGGTTTCATTCACACGCCAGTCTCAGTCTGCGTTATTTGGTTGCTGTTACAGTTCGATAGGAAAACACACAAGGAAAGGAACCTGGGGAATGGCTCGGGCTCAGGTGCTCCATGTCCACCCAGTGGTATAACAGGTGTCCCTTTGGGGACGTGAAGCACACATCCTCCTCTGTGTCCCCTAATCAGCGGTCACTTCCAGATGAACAACTCAGGCTGACCGTGTAACCTGCTCCAGGCCACATCTGCTGGATTGGAGAACTCAACTGCGGTACCCTTTCTGGGGACTCCACCCTTATGCCCGGATCTGACCCTCATCTCAGACCCCTAGGCAGAGGCTTCTGTTTTAGAGAATCGATCTCCCTTGCCGAGCCCCAAACCACAGGACCAGGCATTTTAGTTCCTAGCTCCTAGTGTTCTTTCCTTGAAGGGTTCTCTGCTGCCGAATGGCCCAGAGCTGTCCTTATGGGCCACTGTCCCTGTACTCCTTTGATGAGACCTGGAACTCCAGACAGAATAGTCACTCTGGTTCTGGTTACTGAAGAACCAAGTGCCTCAGACTCATACCTCCTCTGGGTCTCAGCGATGAATGTCACCCACCCTCCCAGGCCTCAGCATGGACACCTATCCAGCGAGGCATGCCTTGCCTCTGTTTGAAGAACCTCTGTATACACAAGGCTTGCAGTATGGTCTGCAACTAAAATAAGGGGGCACCCTAGAGAAGCTGGTGTTGGGGTGTTTATGAATCTCCTCTGTTACTCTCCCCTGACCTTATTTTCTTCTGCAGTTAGAATCTGGCACCAACTCTCAGTTTTGCAGTCTCAGCGAAAAGAGCTGATATTCTGAGTACTGCTCAAAAACTCTATGCATTGGCGGAAGGTTTCTGCAGCCAGGTCTTTAAAGCTTCAGTGACCTTTAGAGAACAAACTTGGTCATTATTCTTCATGCTAGTCTTATCCTCTCCTAAAATATTTTAAAATAGATAGTTGTGGATTTGGCTCCACTTTTATCTAGACTGAACACATTTGACAAATAGCAGGGAGCAGAGTTCCGGGCAGGGAGGATGGGAACGTGTTTGTGCTGACTGGGAGCCAGAGCTGCTATATTACAGGATCTTGACCAAACACTACTCAAGCCTCCCCTGTCCCAGGAGGAAGCCTGCAAATCATCTCCTGTCCTAGGCACTGACAGGACCCCAGAGTCAGACAGGGAGAATGGAGGACAATGGATCTCTCTTTAGGCTCCATCGTTCCACAGCAAGTTTCCCAGGCACACACAGAGGCCTGTGGGATTCAGACGTCAGCCCTTCATACCTAGTTCCGAGTTCTAATTACCGTGGGTATTTTTTGCATGGAGACATCCTGAAGCCTGGGCCCACCTTTCTATACTTGATTAAAGGCATGAGGCACAGAATTAAGAGCCATGCTATCCTGGAGAAGGGGTCCTTCTATTACCCGTGTTTAGCCGGTTCACACTTGAATACCCTCCTCTGACATACTCATTTCATCAGGACTTCCAAGTCCAGCAAACTATTCCCAAGAGGTTCTGCTGAAAAGATTTTCACTGGTTTTATTTTTATTTTTGGAAATGGTTAATTCCTAGCTCCTCTGCAATGTTTACATTTGTTGTCCCCACTCTGCTGATGGCTTGCCTTCCTCACCTCCTCTAATTGTAAATCATCTGTATCTACACTGAAACCATCTAGAAAGCCTTCCAGGATTGATAGAAATATGAGCTCTGCTTTTTTATTTCTTAGTCACTTATATGCTATTTGCACATCACTTCTTTGGTTTTCTGTCCATTTAAATCGTACCCACTTGTTGTTAACAACTTTTGCTTGATAATTGTGTGTCTTGCAGAACTGCTGGACTGTGTGTGTTTAAGCATGTGTGTGTGTGTGTGTGTGTGTGTGTGTGTGTGTGTGTGTGTGTTAGTAGCACAGCCTGTGGAAACTAGGATGGGACCTCAAGGGATGGGCAATGTCTGCTATCTGTCCACATCATCTCTGGACAGGAAACAGAATGGAGACATGGAACCCCTGGGTGAGCAAACAGAGCTGCTCTAGACCATGTCCACCACATCAGTGTGATGAGGAACATTTACTTGCCAAGCTGTTTGTGTTCATCACACATCTGACTCTGTGCTGGCCTCACCTCATGCTCCCCTGTGAGAACTTGTGGGCCCCCCGGGAGAGGCTGTGGCTGCTCATTAGGGGTGAATGGAGAGCTGCCAGCTTTGGAAAGACCAGGAAGCAGGCTAATAGAACCAATGTTTCTTGTTACTCATCTGGCTCTGCAGGAAAAGCCAGAGCAGAGAAAAGGGGGTTTGAAAACCAACCCCTGAAAATGCTGAACTCAGGGAGGCAAGATGCAGCAGAGCTCTGTGTAGAGATGGACACTGGACAAGCACCCATCCCGAGAGGGGCTTATGCCTGAGGAGTGAAGAACGCACCCAGCAGACCAAGCAGCCACAAGTCTGAGCTTCAGTCTGCCATCTTTCTCCAGAGGGTTCTGTTCTGATACGTCTGTGTAGAATTCTGCAGGGTGAGTCCCCTGTTCTCCTGAGCACCCCTCCCTCACTTTCTTTTTTTTTTTTTTTTTTTAACCCTCCTCTCTGAGCTCCCAGGTTTTAGAAACTGTTCTCAGTCACAGATGCCAGGTCTGGGCTGGATCCTTTGTGGCATAGGTAGGGGTCCTGGAAGGCAGCCAGGACAGTAATCTCTGTAGCCTCTGCCATGGATGGGCTCTCACTTCTCAGTCCAGGCCCCTTCACCCATGCAGGCATGTTGAACACCCCAAGGCTGGTGTGTCCTCCACCTAAGGACCTCTGTTGTCCAGCCGAAGGACCTGACAGGGATCTGGCCGTTCAGGGCCTCGATTCGCCCAGCTCTACTGAGGGCACCCAGCACTCATATCCAACAGTTACGCACAGCTGTAGGTGGCAGGTGGAGGCTGCTAGGTGGGAAAAGAAGCGTGTGGTACAGAATGAGTCAGCCAAGCAAAAGGCTGTGGGGTGGAGGACGCTCAGGCCTGGGACAGCTCAGGATGCGGAAAGTTGGCTGCTCTGAGACATTCCTGTAAACTACAGCACCCCTCCACAGGCCCTTTACAGTCGCACTCAATCCATGAGACACAGGACAGTACTTCCTGCGTGCCAGGCACTGTTCTGCCCTGTGAGGTGCCTGATGACTCTGAGGTACACACACTTATCCTCAGTTCACAGGTGAGCAAGCACAGAGGGGACGAGCTATGGGTAAGCACAGACCAGGCAGGGGCCAGAGCAGGATCTAGCCCCTCTCTGCTATACCCCGGAAGCAAGGCATCTGTATGCATCTCTGAGCCTTGTCTTTCCTGTGCCACCCCACAACTCTTGATAATGAGGACCATCTGTCAGATCTGGGAAGACCCCCAAGCCCAGCATACGAATGAGGGGCTTAAACGAGACCCTCCTAGGTCGAGTTCTGTGCACACAACCGTCCTTCACGACACTGTACTGTTCTCACCATCTGCTCAAGTATGATGAGGAAGAGCCAGGAAACCTGGAAGGCTGGCCTGGACCATCAGCGGCTGTGCAGCATGTTGGATTCAGGAAATGAACCTTAAAGTGAAGCCCCAGAGGACAGGGTTTCTCTAGCCTTTCGCATACGCCCGTTTCTCACCAGCCTTCTCTCTGGAGGAAGTGGTGCACTGGAATTCCTGCTCGCCATAGGGTGCAGAGGAGCCAGGACTTCTTTCTTCCAAAGGCAACAGAGAACCAAGCGGCTGCTGCCACTCTTGCCTACCTTCCCAGGCAGGAGCCGGCACAGAGATTCTGACCACTCATATGATAATGGGTCCTAGGACATCTGTTTAAGAGATGGGGTCCAGGGAGTGGAATGAGGCTGGCGGAGCCTATGGAGAGTCTTGCTGAGCCCTGGGTCTCCCCCCACCATCTTGTGCTCTCTCTCAGCCACATTTTTGTGGGGTGTGCTGTTTCATCAAACCCAAGAGCAAGGGACATAGTCCTGGTGTCTTTGGGCCTTCACCTGAAGACCCTCACGCTGGGTACAAGTGTGGCAGAGTGTGGCAGTTACACCTTCTGCTCAAGGGTGCCAGTGTGACCCTCAGGGTGGGGAGAGGGAACTGCAGATTCTCCACCGCCACACGGGCGGTATCAAAGCTGAGGTGGGCCAGTGTGTCTCAGGGTCTCTAAATACTAAATGTTTCCCTTGAAAACAGCTCCTCCCTCCCAAAACAAAACCAAACCAAAATACGTTTAACTCATAAAAATAACATATGCTTACTGTTTACAGAGCCAGCCAGCCGAGGAGCAGGAGGTGAAAGGGAGGCTCTTTCTTGCCCACCTAGGAAATGAGCACGTCTGTGCTTGCCTTTGGAAAGCTGTCTCCTACCCTGCATTACATGACCTTCTAATGTAGACTGGCCATCCTGGGCTCCGCGTGCTGTTTGTTTAGCTCCCTTTCCTCGTAAACTGAAGCATCTGGCCGCATCACACAGGAACAGCACCTCTCTGCTGTGGCCGAGCCCCGCCTGCAGCTGCGAGTCAGCTAGCTAGCTTCTTCTGGACATCGGTCAACATGTCTGAAGGGTGCAATCCCAAAAGCGGACTTGACTGGACGAAGCTCATGGGCTTTCCCTACTTAGCTGGAACTCTTGCAAGAGCAGCATACCAGGTGCCATCAATTCCACTGAGACCCTGCCAAGGTTGGAGGTCACCAAATCTCTACCACCGTCCAAGGCTGCGAGTAGAAAAGGTCCAGAGCTCTTTGTCTTATCCCAACACACTCAAAAAGGAAACAGGTATGAAGACATTCTCAGGAAGCAAGAAAGCTGTGATCACAACTGCCTAACAAGACAGGAAGTCTGGTAAAGAACTGAAGCCCTTGCTGGATGCCTTTGGAGCTGATAAATACAATCTCAAAATAAACACAAATCTGTTAAGCCTAGAGTTTTATATAATTATTTTTCTTCTCCTGTTTGTTTTTTTTTTTTTCTAAACCTCCCTATCTTCTATGCCCATTTGCTGTACAGAATGAAAGTGTGTAAAATTCAAGGAAAACAAATAAACTGAATTTTTTTTTTCCATATAATTCAGCAAGTACAATCATGGTTGGAGCTTGGGGCTTCTCCACAGGGAAAATAGAAAAAAGAACAACCTTGGTATAAATTAAGTTGAACAGAATTCATGTGTGAATTAAAGACAGTTTATTTGCAGCTATAACAGATGCCCAAGGACTCAGAGACAAGCCCTACCTCAGAGAGCATTCTCCAAAAGTCTGCCCATCTCCACTGGAGACTTGACAGAGCTGTTGTTGCACAGTTAATAAGGCACAAATGCTTGGCTCCAACTTAGGGCTCTCAACAGGACACTGACACCTGACTTGTCTCCAGAATGCCAAATCCCCCTAGGAAGTGGCTGTCCGCTCTCATATTTTTACACAGTAGAAGCCGTGTCCAAAGCATTGTGGCTATCGCCAGGGGACCTGTCCCTGCTTGAGGCCTCCCACATGGGGCTCTTCTATTCCCCTGATATCCTAAAAAGTAGATGTTTATGAAAAAGCCAGATACAACAGGCTCCTCCAGCCTCATGGTTGGACGAGCACAGGCATGAGTGTATGCTATGGTGGGTCAGTTTAATGCACGGTTCCACAGCTGAGTTGAGAACCCAGGATGCCTCCCTGGGGAAGGAGAGTGTCCAGTCTTGGGCTGATGAAGCCAGGAGGGATCTCGGGGACTGACCAGCTGGCCTCATTCCCCAGGGAGAAGAGCTGACTGCCCAACGTCACTGAGCTAGACACAGCTAGGAGCAAGGCAGACCTGGCAGTTCAGAGATATTGTTAGGGCCTCAGGCCACATACCTGAGAGCCTGCTCTTACCCAGTCAGGATGATAATAACCCACCCGGTCCCAGGAGAAATCACAGTGATTTTTGGCTGAGGTCCTATCTGAGATTTGCATAAGTGACCCAAGAACAACAGCCCAGGGACAATCTGGCCCATGGGTTTCCTCCAAATCACGAGCCAACATAAACAACCCTGTGTGTATGTCCACAACACGGAGTCCACCATGGCTCCACACATTCCCATCCTGAGGCCTGCCACCTCATCACGCCACTGGCATCCCAGGGACCAGAGCTGCTTACCTGGGTCTTTCACTTTCTGGTTACCCATCTTGGCGAGCACCTGCCAGGGAAACTGCTCTGGCCAGGTGATGAAGAGTCCCAACTCTTTGGCCCAACTGTAAAGACCCCACTGGGACAGCTCAGTGAATGTCAAGTGACACAAAGCCAGTCTCACCATGCTCCCCTAGCTTGGCCATAGACACAATCACAGGCTCCACACAGGACAAGCATCCTTCCAGTGGCTCCTGGGCAGTCCGCACTAGGCATCTGAATGTCAGCATGTGAAGCAGCCATTCTCACCGGAGATTCCCCAGAGACCTTGTCTGTGTCTGGGACTGATGGTCATGGGTGAGGAGGGAGATGGTGCCAAGGGCATCGGGACCCAGGGCAACCACAGTTGATGTGTCTCTGACAAGCTCATAAAATTGACTGTTTTTACCTTGTCCTGTCCTACCTTACCTAGAACTATCATCTAAGGCAACTTCAGGAGGGAACAGCTGAGTGTGACGTGAAACCCGGGTTAGAAGCTGAATGTGAATCTATTTAGTTGTTGAAGTAGCACAGCAACCCTTTACAATCCTCACACCACATTTGCTGTATACAAATACCCTCACACTGGTAGGATGCTCCCAGGAGGTAGAACAGTGCTTTTCATAGTAGCTTTGCTTAATAACTGAAAGATTGTAAATTATTGCACAAGTTCCCTGAATTGAAGCCGATACATGAAAGAAATTAAATGAGGCCGAGCTTCCTTTGGTGCTGAGCCAGGCGGAGAGGAAAATCTAATTATTATTATTATTATTTTTTTTTTTTCGAGAATGGAGAATTTCCTAACTCACATCTGGATGACGGGTTCCTGTCTGTGAGGCTGCAGCCAATGGCCTGGGTACCTTCTGCTGGTCTGTGGAACAAACCATTAGCAGCACACTGTGCCCATACTGCCATGGACCCTCACCCCACCCCTGTGTCTCAGTCTATCCCCAAGGGTTTCCAGACCAAGTAGTCAACTTTGCATGGTTGGTCGATGTGAAGGTAAACTGGGCTCTGTTTTTGTTGGACTTAACTTCAGAGGCAATACATTAGAAGTGACCTTTCAACCATTCTGCCTGCAGTTCATGGAGTTTTTAAAAGGATGAGACATGAAACCAGAAGAAAACATGATGGTTTTGTGCAAAAGCAGAGACTACTTTAAAGAACAAATTATGATAACTTTGAGAATCGTATGCCTTTCGGCAGTCCTGATAAGAACATGTGTTTGTGAAGGCCACATGTGAGTGGTCCCCAGCTTTGAGGACCCTCTAATTCCTGTGACCTCAGCAAGGCAAAGCATACAGTTCAGTCAGAGTTGGGGTACAGGGAGGTAGTCTTCCATGTTCCCAAGGGAGAAGAGAATGATCGCCCCCACATTCCTAAGGGGGTCTAGATGGCAGCCTCATTGCATTCCTGCAAGAGGGGGTATCACGGGGACCCTTACCTAACCGGTTGCAGGGGTTCCTCTTGAAAAGGGCCCTCAGCAGGCTCTGTGCCTCCATACTGAGGAACTGTGGCATTCCCAGCTTGGCTCTGGAAGGCAGAATGGGATGCAGGTTAGGAGGTAGAGGGCAAAGATAAGTGCATTCCCCAGTCCTACAAGGCCTCTCTGTTTACAAGGGGACAGATGCTCCAACATGTGGAGCAACAGTGCCAGCACTCTGGTTTTAAGGACCCCATTATGCCTTAAAATTATGTGGGGACACCAAAGACTTTCAGCTCAAGTGGCTTGAGGTTAGTTGTTGACCATAATCAAAATTTAAAATGAGAAATTTTCACAATTGCTGCTAAGTAATCCATTGAAAACACAGTGAATAATCAAAATAGCAATAGAGATTCCCTAAGTATCAACAATATTTTCAATGGAAATTATTTTTCAAATCAATTTTTTTACTACGCAAAGTGTTTTTTGTTTTTGTTTTATATATATATTTTATTTTTTTTTTTTTAAGCAAGAAAGATTAATAGTGGGTTAACTTTGGTGAGTTCCTTCCTGGCACCGTGGGAACAGTGGTTCTCTCCTTTTCCCTTGGTTGGGCTGCTGCAGAACTATGGAGGATGTCTGGAAATGGAGCATTCCAAGGGCACAGCAGCAATGTTGGACCCTGGTGTCCTCGGACCTTACTCCTCAGCAAGGTGCTGAGCATGGGCTGACCTGTCAGTGTGGCTGCGTGGGCCCATATGGGGTTGCTGGAGGGAGTTTTACCAGCTTTAGTAAAAAAGTAAACCAAGCTACCATTAAAGCCCAGGGAATAGAGGCATTCCCGCAAGAACACAGGGTGCAGCTAGGGCAGCTACACGATTGATCAGGTGCACGTGGGCTCCCTGGCTCCCTGGCAGGGCTCTAGGAAGACTCTGAACGATGCAAAGCTTTTGATGTGTCCTCACAGTGCAGTTTCCTTTATACATCCTTTATCCCATGTGTAAGGGAGGCACTTACAAAGGCTTGGCTTGCCATGTTTGATGGCCCCCAAGTTTAGTAATGTCCCTTTATTCTGGCAGTGGTCACCAGGACAGTACTAATCAGTCAGAGTCCATTGAACCCTATCTCCTCACTTCTTGCCCTTCTCTGATGCACATGTCCAACTCATCTAGGACTTTAGGGCACACAGCCAGAGGGTCAGACAGTGGTCTGACCACCTCTTCTGTGTTCCTGAAGACACTCCTGATCTTTAGGTAAATAAGTCTGCAGAGGAATGAAGCACAAACTGTGCCAACCCCAGTCAGGTGGGTGTAGGTGACCACGAGCAGGGTCAGCAGGAGGAGCGGAAGCCCTGCACCCGTGCCCTCCCATTCTCCAGCCACCTGGAAGATGGCCATCACACTGTCTGGAGGCCAGCACCAGACAATCTACGTGAGTATATCTCTGTCTGAGAATGATCAGCATTCCCCCGTGGATCTTCCAGGACATCAAGGATCCCACACAGCTGGCATGCACTCCATCTGTGGTGACAATGACACAGAGCAGATGGCTCTTCCCCAGTCCCACTGCTCCTACTGAAACCCAGCAGCCCACTTCCTCCTCAGCTATCGACACCAAAGGCCAAGGCTCTGCTCCCGGGTGGAGCAGTGTGCTGGAGAAGGTACCCACACTCACTTGAGGATGAGGGCCATTGTTTCCTTCCTGTCCTTCCCCTGGAATGGCAGGGACCCTGTGAGCATCTCGAACTGCAGAACAAGAGAGAGCACATGAGTTCGTTCTTTCATCTCCAATCCTCACCAGCCATGTGGTGAGGAACTGGGGATCCTGCCTCCAGATTCCCACCCTAGCTGGAGAGATGCATGAAGGGTGAACAGAGTGAATGATGTACTTCCTGTGGTCTCGGGGCTACCTACCCCCAGTAGGAGAGCCCAGCAGGACAGGGGCCAGAGGGGTAAGAGGAAGAACATGAGGCTACTCATACTGATCCCCTGCATGTTCTATATCTTTGTCTGTGATGGGAATGCTCCTGGTTACAGCCCATTAACAACATCTGATGGCGCCAACATGGCACCAGCAATCTCTCGCACAGACTGCCAAATGCAGAGATAGCCCTAGCCAGGAAGGGAGCTGAGATAAGGTGAAGCCCAACAGCAGCCCCTGCTGATCATAGATGTCTTATTCACACAAACAGTGCTGATTCTGTGGGCTCCAGAGGCCTGAAATCCGACAGACATCATAACCCAGCAGCAGCACCACCACCACCATCACCACCACCACCATCACCACCACCACAATCACCACCACCACCATCACCACCACCACCACCACCATCACCACCACCACCACCACCACCACCACCACCATCACTACCACCACAATCACCACCACCATCCACCTCCCTTGGAGCATTGCGGCTGTGAGAGAGGGGAAGGCAGCAACAGCAAACCCCTTTCACACATGAGATACTAAGGCTCACAGAAATGTGTGGCACTGTGAGCACCCTTCACTTCAGTCAAAATGAGGAGGTAGCAGCCTGGCAGCAGATCTTTAATCGGTCACATTAATTCTGCATGTCATGACATCTTCTCTGCCCCTTAACAACTTATTGTCCAGTGTCATTCCTTTGCATTGTGAAAATCCTGAGAAGCACAAGTACAAAAACCCAAATAATTGCCTCCATCCCATCATTCAAAGACACATGCTGCCCTGACTTCCTGAATTAGAAAACATTTTATGCTTACTATAAAACTCCCGTAACATCCTGCTATAGGTGGATGAGACAATACACAACAAAGTATCTACTGTTGGATGTTCAAGTTGTCACCAGCTAACAGTATACCTTAAACCAGTGGTTCTCAACCTGTGGGTCATGACCCCTGCGGGGTGAATGACATTTTCACAGGGGTCACATATCAAATAATCTGCATAGCATATATTTACATTACAAATCATAAAAGTAGCAACATTACAGTTACGAAGTAGCAACGAAAGTAATATGGCTGGGGCTGCAGCATTAGGAAGGTTGAGAACCACTGTGTTAGACTGAAATGTACCTAAAAGTTTCCTAAACTTCAGAAATGTGAAAACACGTTAACCTCTCCTTGCTGCGGAAAAACCATCTGACGAAATCACTCAAGGAGGGAGTTCCCGAGCGGCCATTATTGGCAGGGAAGGTTGAGGCAGGAGCATGAGGCTGTTCACATACCCAGTCAGGAGGCAGAAAGGGGTAAGTGTGGGCACTTAACTGGCTTCTTCTCTTTCCCTCTGTCCATGGACAGTGCTCTGCATATGCATGATGGGTCATTCCTTCTCAGGCAAGCCTCTCTGAAAAACGCCCTCACAAACATACCCAGAAGTGTGTCTCCCAGGTGATTCCAAATCCAGTCAAGTTGACAATGTGGACCAACCATCACTGACGGGCTATGGGCTATCAGAGTGGAATTATAAACTTAGAGAAATAAGGAGGCTACAGGTTTTTAAATCTTTTTAATTATTGTTTGACAGTTTCATACATTTGCATAATGAATTTTAGTCATTTCACCTCCCACATAAATATGTCATGATAGTGGGAGGGAGGCTTGTTAGAAAGGAGGGTGTCAGTGGAAGAGGGATGAAAGAGGGAGTGGGGATGATACGGGTATAGTTTATTAATATTATCTGTCTTCTTTCTGTAAATCAACTTTTAAAATTGAACAAGCCCTTGCTCAGTTCAGGTATCTGAACTTGCTGCCCGTCTTGCGTGCTGATTAAGCCAAAGTGCACACAAAGTCGGGCTGCAGGCAATAAACAAATGTGTAAGTAATAAATGGCAAGAGCAACAGAGTCCAGATGAGAGTTTAAAAATAGACAAACATAATTAAAATGACTAGGAGATGAGCGGCTCATCTGATAAATAGGACGAGCATTCATAAGCTGATTATAGAAATTACCATCTCAAAATAGGCTCCCAGGGAGGGGAACTCTGGCTATTTGGTTCTTCCTTAGAGTCTATTCATAGCACTCATGAAATCCCATTTCCAAGAAAGAGCCTGACTGTGTAGAATGAGACCGGTACTTCCCACCTCTGGCCATTTCACCCCTCTGGCAGAAATAGAGCCCATCTCCGTGTCTGGGTGTCACGGTGCTAATTGGTGCCACAGGACAATGTGAGGCAACATTTCTTTGGCGGTTTCTTCCTGGCTTTTGACAGCGGCTGTGACAACCAGAGTCCATGCTCTCTTCTCGTTTCTCCCCTTTCCTCTCTCCCTCCCTGTGGTTCATTTCTTTGTACTTAGGTCCGCAAGGTAGAGACCAATGCAGGGCACTCGGTAATGCTCACTAGGTGACTCTTTGGGAGGAGACAATGATGAGACTGTCTGCTTCTCTGGCTTCATCTCCATACCCTTGGGGCCCACAGAAAGGGGCTCATTTCCGGGTGACGCTCAGGAAGTGTCTCAACTCAGGGCCCAGTGGACGGCTTCCCCTGTGATGAGACGTGTGCTCTGGTGTTAGATGTCACAATGTTAGATGCTACACGGGAAACACGCATGCTCGGGCACCACGCCAGGTGGTTCTGTGAGATACTGATGAGCTTCATGTGAGTAGCTATGATGCTCCCATGATGAGAAGGGGCACTTCCCAGGAGCAGTCCTCAGAGCTCAGGGAGTAGGTCCAAAGTTAGCTTTAATTGCCATGGCTTAGGGCATGGGTGCCAGCCACCTACATCTAGTTTGGGGAGCCTGCAGCTGCGTTTTCCAGCCCCAGTTCTCAGTGGGGCTTGGATGAAGCCCTGCCTCAAGGGAGATCTCGGTCAAGGTCAGCTTGAGATTAGGTGCCATAGGGACCTGAAGTGGCAGCAGAACCAGCGTAGGGTTTCCAGCTACAAGGACTTCTGTGTAAGAAGGGGCCTGGGCTCACAAGGCCAAGTCACTGACCTGGCCGCCCCTGGCCACTTCATACCAGGATGGCGCACCTCCAGCTGGAAACACTTGGGTCTGTTCTCTGATGGTCCACAGGCTACCCCAGGTGGTAAAATCTATATGGAGGCACAGAGTCAGTATCCACAGCAAAGCCCAGCCTGCAATGGAAAATGGCAGAGCCCTTGATAGACCGTGGCTGGTGACTAAGGGCTACGTGTAGCAGGGCTTGGGGATGAGTTTGACTTAATTTTTTAGTGCATTTTAGTCAGCTGGCTCTGGTTTCATATGATTGCCCTGGGTCCTCTGCTGGCATTTCTGAACAGCGGGCATAGTATGATCTATATCAGCAGTTTTCAACCTGTGGGTGGGACTAGCCTTTCACAGGGTTGCATATCAGATAGCCTGCATATCCGACATTTATATTAAGATTCACAACAGTGGCCAAATAATAGTTACGAAGGGGCAATGAGATAATTTTATGCTTGGGGGTCACCACACCATGAAGAACTGTGTTAAAAGGTCGCAGCATTGGGAAGACTGAGAACCACTGTCCCAGACAGTGACCCCTCCGGTTGCTTTTGAAGTGGCGTAACCACTGCAGTTAACAGATGGCTCAGCACTCAGGTGGTCTTGCATCTTGGGAGCCAGTCCCCAGTCCAAGGAGTTATAAACAGCACACACCTCCCCTGGCCATCTCAGAGGTCAGGCCTGCTCAGGCTTTCCAAGTCCTCATTTCTACCATGGGGCTTAGGATTCCTTAATAAAGCAACTCACAGATATCAGCAGCCCCCAGATGACCCCTTCAGTAGGGTAGGTAACAGGATACACTAATGCTTCTCAGGCCCATCTCCCATTTGCACTCGAGAACTGGGAAGTAATGTTGATGCCACCCGAGGAAGCACTGGGAACCTTGTGCCATAGTTGAGCCTTCTCAGCGAAGCTGGTCTGAGTGCAAAAGAGTAGTTGGACAAGACAAAGGGGAGGTGGGGATCAGGGACCACTGCTCAGTCTTCTCAGCCTTGATTTTCATTTCTGTCCTGTCGTGCTTTGAGACTAGGGGGCAGGGCGGTCAGATCAAATGTGAGGATCTCCCAGAAACCCTCAAGGTGGTCTCTTCCTGTGGCACGTGACACGGTGCCTGCTTTATGCTCGGAGAGTAACAGTGCTGGAATCACTGCCAACATCTCTCCACCTGTCCCAAGACCCAACAGAGAGAATATAGGGAGCATGACAGTTAATCTTGATTATGGGAGTCAGTGGATTTAAAGGTATCAAGGAGACACACTTCTGAGCATGTTTCCAGTGTTTCCAGAGAGAGTGTCTGAGGAGGGAAGAGGCAGCTGAATGGTGGCCGGCACCATTTCAGGAGCTGAGAATGAAGGAGAAAGCCAGCTGAGCACCAGTGTTCACCCCTCTCTATTTCCTGGTTGTGGGTACAATGTGACCAATTGCCTGAGGCTCCCACCACCACAGACAGAGCCATTCTGGCTGTCATGCCTTCCCCAGCACGGCAGACTTTACCTCACATCAAGAGCCACAACAAACCCCTGCCTCCTTAGTTGCTCTTGTCAAAGCAACAGGAGAAGTTGCGGACCATACAGGAAGGATCTGTCCTGTCTTTCATGTTGGGAAGGTTCCGACCATCAATTACATCAGGGAAGGGATGGTGGTGGTAGGGTCTGCTCATGTCTGCCTGATGAGTGCTGGTGCACATTCTTCCATTTTTATCCAGCCCTGGACCCCAGCCTGTGGGAGGCCACTGCTCACACTCAGGTCTAGTGTTCCTCTCTCGGGCTCTCTAGAAAAGCCCCACAGACATGCCAAAGTATGTCTTACTACCGTGCTGGACAGGACTTTACCCAGTCAAGCTGATGAACGAAATGAAGCACCACGCTATCCAACAACCGAGCCATTCAGGAAGACTGTCCTCTTTGTGTGAGAACCGGAACCACAGTGGCTCCAGGTGAGCATATGTGGCAGCCATTACAGAAGCACACCTTTGGGAGCAAAACCTAGCTCCCCACCTCAGCTTTGCAAACTCTAGGAGACAGGGAGCCCCCGGGCAGGGTAAAGACTGTGGGGCATGTCATGTGGTAGGACCACTGAGTTCACACTGTCCCTGTGAAGCAGATTCAGATGCCAGGGAGTCTGGGGAGGTGACGTGACATCTGAGCTGGGGAAAGTTTGCAAATATTCAGTGACAGAAGAGAGACGTTTTGCGGAGACCTACCAGAATGCCAAGGAGTTGCAGACAGGGAGACAGAAATAGTTTGAAGTCAGGAAAGGTACGCTTTGGTAGTTCTTGCCCAGGGCTATATGGGAAAGCTCCCTGGGACTATGTACTATCAGGAGCCAGCCTGGCTGGTCCCGTGTTGGTATACACACATCAGCTGCCTGCCAGAGAGCACAGAGTCCATGACCTCCTCTCCACAGGACCACAGCTTATTTGCAGCACTGCTGTGCAGACCTTTGCCAAAATAGCTGGTGGAAACAAGGAAAAGCCTGGACATGCAGCAGGGCCAGCCTGCTCCTAAAGTGGACTTGAGTTTCCAAGAGTGTGGGGCTGCAAGGACAGGACCACCCCTGACCTACAGCCCAGACGAAGTAGAGACTTCAGACCTTTCAGTGAAGCCTGCAGAAAGGGAGAAGGACTTCAAGGAAAGGGTATCACCCCTCCTGCCAGGGGATCAAAAGAAAACAGTGTTTGCATGTGAGCACACCTACCTGTGGGAAAATCACCTAGAGGAGACCAAAGCTGTTTCTTTAGCTTACGTGAAAAGACCTTTTCCAACGGGAGGGGAAGACACTTTGAGACAGCCCTGGGACCACAGGGCACGGCTGCTGTCCTTCAGGAGGAGACCTGTATTCTACCTGCTGCCCGAGGGTCTGATCATAAGCAGCATTACTGCCACCTTCACGAGGTGCACCTTCCTCACATACACCTACTAACTGAGTGAGTGTGAGTCTACGGCATGTGGCAGGCTTCCCTAACCCCCAAGGGCACTGCTTCCTTCCTCTCCAGCCACTTCCCAGATTCTTCAGGGTGGATAGTACCTCTTGGGATCTCATGGAGCAAAACTTAATGGCAGTCTTAAAACTGGGTAGAAATGTCAGAGCCTGCATCTCGGAGCGTCATAGCTACAAACTCCAGCCTAAGGTGTAAGGGAGAGGGGCTGACAATGGTCCATCCTCCATTTTCTCATGGGATGGGGCAGACTGTGACACTCCTTGACTAAGCAGCTTTCATTAAGATCTGACAGGGAGCCAGGCAGGGTGCATGGGATTATAGGTGCATGCCTGTAATCCCAGCACTTGGGGAAGCAGAGGCAGGTGGATCTCTGTGAGATCCTGGTCTACAAAGTGAGTCCAGGACAGCGAAGGCTACACAAAGAAACCCTGTCTTGAAATTAAAAAACAAACAAACAAAAACAAAACAAAAAAGATCTGACAGGGAAGAAAACATGGTTCTGCCTGAGGTGATGAGTATCTTTTACTGTGAGTTAAACCTTCTCCCCAACTTGGCTGGCTGGAAGTGCCTCCCAGAAGTTAGCAGCTTAGGTATACAAAGAATTTCTCTGCCTTGAGAGCTAGCTGAGAACCCAAGCATTCATGACCACCCCTCCTTGAGGTTTCAAGACATCCCTAGGCCCACAGCCTGAACCAGGGCTGCAGGGGTGGAGGATGACAGGCAGCTGTGTCTATGAAAGGAGCATCTTTGGATGCACAGGACCATGCTGAGAGCTGCCTAAGCCTCTCATCACATCTACTGAGGGTCTCACAGTCCCAGTTTCTTCAGTTGTTAAATGTTCAAACCAAACGGTGTTGGGAAATGCCGTGACCCTGGTTATCATTGGTCTCAGATTCCAGAGCAACAGAATCTGGCCTAGGTGGAGGTGTGAGAGGTCAATGAGCATGCTGTTCTGCTGGAGTGGGAAGAGGAGAAAGGGCAGAAGCATGCCCACACTGGAAATACAAAACTGGCTAGCTCCATGAGCACTTGGGTGCCTGCCAAGTTTTACAACTAAGCAAAAGGACTTCATCTGAAATAGGAGAGATATGTTTAATACAGAAGCCGCTGCCTCTCTCCACATGCCTATTAAGTCTGTGGAGCTAAGTGTGTAGAAGGCTTGGCCTTCAATATACTTGTGCTCTTATCTGAACCCCACTTCCATTTTCTGAAGAAAGGGCTAGGACAGACGCAGGGGAGGCTGCAGGGATGGTTCTCAAACTCACTGCCTCCTCCTGCGCAGGTAAGAGACTAGGCCTTTCAAGCCCTGTTTCCTCTCCAGTCTCCAGTGTCTCTGGATCAAGCCGGGATGAGGGATTCAGTCACAAAGGAAACCAGGGGATAAGCACTTACCATGAGCACACCGAAGGACCACCAGTCAGCACTCTGCGTGTGACCCCGCCGGTTCACCACCTCGGGCGCCATGTATTCGATAGTTCCACAAAATGAATAGGCTCTCTTGTCATGGTCGATGGCCTCCTTGCTCAGGCCAAAATCTAAAGAGAAGCACAGCACCCGGTCTCTGAGCCACGACCCCATGTGTCTATATAGGCAGACACACATCACTTCCCTCAGAGACTACAGGGCCTTGTGCACAGAGTTATTCAGGAGGAAAGGAAGCATGGCTGATACCTGCTTGGGAAGCAGGTCCAGTTATAGCACAAGAGGAGATGAGGCCAGGACTGGCTAGTGGGCAGGATAATGGTGCCCAAATATGGTCTAGAACCCATGAACAGATTATCTGATAGTGTGAAGGGGACTTGCAGTATACAGTACATATCCTGAGGTAGGGTATTAACCGTATGGCCCAGGTGACCTTATAGATATCCATGTGGAGAGAATCAGTGAGCCTGAAAGATGCTGGCCTCCTGCCATTTCGGAAGAGGAAGAGGCTCCAGTGGGAGCTGAAGAACCCGAGGGCCCAGAGGGACCTCCTGAGCTTAGCTTTGAGACTTAACAGTTCCAGAACGGTAAAGCAATAAACTGCTTCTTGTAACTTGTTGCAGCCCCTGGAAGCGAGTATACACATGGGCATCAAGGGGTAAGACAGCATGTTTGCAGCTGGGCTCATTATATTAGTGTTGCAAGGTTTAGATATGAACAAGGAGAAGAGCTGGACCACTACTGCCAGAGGAGACAAGGCGACACTGTGTCTGCCTTAGAGCAAGCATGGGCTTAGGGCTTCTAGTCAAACATCCAACGAGGCTGAGCAAGGCCTGAAAGGAGTCTTAGGCAGGTGAGCAGAGAACGGATTGCAAAAGTCTGAATGTCCCCTTGTTGTAAGCACATAATCGAGAGGCCAGCAAGCCCAGGAAGGAGTCTTAGGTAAGGGTAGAGAGGAAGCATTCCAGGACTCTGAGTTTCCCCCTGCTACATGCTCACATTCCCATTCCGAAGGCCAGCAACTTGGGCTCAAAAAATTCAGCCAGGTCAGACATGCAACATTGGGCTGTTAAGAGCTGATCTACAAATTTATCAGGGCTGACAAGTGAGGAAGGGAGATAAGGCTATCAGGTTTTATGTTTTTACCAACCTGTGATCTTAATATGTCCCTCTTCATCCAGGAGGATACTGAAAAAAAAAAAAAGAAAAAGAAAAAGAAAAAGAAAGAAAGGGTAAGAAAGCAGATTTCAGTGAGGGAAAAATTAAACAGAGCTCACAGTCAGTGCCCTGGCACGTAGAATTCAGAGAAAAGCCCCATGGAGCTGAGATGCCTTTGCCTTTGACTGCATCCTGGATAGTTTCTATGGCAGTCTGTGCCCCATAGCCTGCGCCAGCTCAGGAAGGCAACCAAGGGGTTACCAGGCTCATAGTCATGAGCCTGAGGGAGGGGAAGCAATGGGTGTTGTCTTGAGCCTGAGGGAGGAGAACCAAGGAACCCCATCAGCCACTCTCCCTGGTACACTAGGCTGAGTGGCTGTGATACCCCAAGATGCAGGCTCCAACATTTCTACCTGTTTTTAATACCGCCAATTAATTCGGTTCCATGAGACCCCAGGAGGTAACATCTACCCAAAGAAACAGAAAAGTGGCTGGAGAGAAGGGGTCCCTGAGGGTTGGGAAAGCCTGCCACAAGCCTGGGCATTCATGCAAGCCTCTGAGCTTCAGACTCCTGAAAAATGGATTTGCCAGGATTGGGCAAGAGGAAGTACACTGGGAAGAGTGTAATAGGGAAAGTCACAGCTCTACAGGCTGAAAAGCAGTCTGGTCAAGGGTGGTGGTGAGGGTACATGGCATTTGCTAATGTTACCTCGCCGTGCCCTCAGCCACTCATGTTATTCTTTGTGTATCCGACACAGGGTTAAAGAACTGCCAGTGCTTTCTGGAAAAGGTTACTGTGCATTAATTAAGATGACAAGTTATAATTAAAGAGGCAAATGTTTTCATTTTTGCCTTTCAGTCATATTGAATCTTTGCCCAGAATTAAGCAACTTTCAAGATACATCCCCAAATAATTCTAATTGGACCACAAAACCTTTGTCTTTATCCTGTAATTAAATGTTCCTATCTACAGCCTCAAGAACCGTCTCAGCCTTCACAGGCAAATGGGAGCCAGGACCTCGATGCCTAGAAGAAATGGTTCTGAGAACACAGAAGTCTTCCACAGGGCTCATGACTGCGGCACAGATTTGCATAAAGCATCTATGTTAATCAATGTGAGGTAAACTTGTGTTAAGCTTTGCATGAGCCCCGGGAACATGCCGGGCTCAGCTATCACCTCTTAATCGGGCATCGATGAAGGCTAGGCTGTAGGCACTGACAGATAGGACATAAAACCTGCTCTGAAGGGGTCACTCTGACCTCCCACACATGCCTGTGGAAGGGTCAGGTATAGGTCACAACTTCCCACTTTTTGTGGGCTCCTGAGGTCAGGGCCTTCAGGATCACCTGTACACAGACAGACAGGATCCGCCTGATACCCTGTCGACTGGCAGTTAAACACAGGTACATGCTGCACACACTAACAGGTGCTTTACCCCACCAGTCCCAGCCGGCAGCCTCGGCTTCAGGAAGCCAGCCATCTTAATCTAACTCAGTATGTGTGAGTGGAGGAGAAAGGAGGAGCAGGAGCGACATCCATTCTGACCACGTGACCCCTTGAACTTAGGGTGTTGTGTGGTGGGGTACGTCCTTTGGAGACAACTTCGTCTGAGGCCTCATGGGTGGGATGACTCAGCCACGGTCAACAAAGGCCCCACATCTGCTGCGCACCTGTGTGGCATCTGCTCAGCCTTCTTGGAACTCGAGCACTGCAGGAAGTGTACTTGGGAAACAATTCCCAGGTAACAGCCACTGACATGGGCTGGCAGCCGATGCCCAAGCAGGCTGTGAATGCCTTTCTTCATACTTACTTCTCTGGCTTCAGATCCCTATAGATGATCCCCAGGCCATGGAGGTGGTCCAGAGCCAAGGCTAACTCGGCCAGGTAGAACTTCACATCCTCCTCAGTGAACATGACCTAGAGGGGTGGGAAAGGACTGTGGTTCAACTTGTCCTATGGCTGCTAGTCTAGAGCATCCCTCAAGGAAACCAGGGCTCTCCCAGAATCCGTGTGTACAGATCCTGGCTCTCCCATGACACTTTCCTGCCACTCCTAATGCAGGAAAGTCCTTCTCATGGTTGTAGGTCCTGCTCAGCCTTGTGATCAGAACCTCAACTCACAATCCACCTGCCCTTACCCTACAAACTGCTCAGGCCAAGTGCAACCCTGGTCTTCCCGTCTTACCAGGAAGGCTCTGGTGTGAATCATGATGGATACTGCAATTCAAATAAACCACACTGGAGGCTGAAGGACTATAGAAAATAGGTATCCTATTTCACTTTTCTCCCTTCCCTCTTCTGTCTTCCCCTGGGCTAATGTGCAAACTGGCAGCCTGATTACCTGCTCTCTGCCCAGAGGGATACATTCCTCCAAGTACAATGTGCTGGTTGGAGAGAGCACATGATTAGTTGGATCGGTGCTCCATTCTAAGCTCTCAAGCAGTGGAATCTAAGCCTGTTAGAGTACTGGGACACCATGGAGCCAGTGGCCTGGAAAACACTGGCTCACAATGCTCTGCCCCATCCTGCTCATTCTCCTGTACTCTTATGTGGTCATGTATATGTGCATGTGTATGCACAAGGATGTGTTTGCACACATGTGCATGGGGTCAGGGGTTCATCTCAGATGTCTTCCCGGGTCACTCATCACCTTATTTTTTGAGACAGTGAATCTAACTTAACCCAGAGCTCACCATTTAGTTAAGTGGGCTGTGCCTGTGAGGCCACGAGTCCATAACCTGTGACTGATCCCGAATCCCTCCCAGTGCTGAGACTGCGGGAGTGTGCTGCTGATCGAGGCTTTTTAGACGGGTGCTTGTACAGGAAGTACTTCACCCCCAGGGCTATCTCCCCAGGGCCCTCACACACCTTCACATTTACCACGAGGCATTCATGTCGAAGAAACTGTACTCCATATAATCACTGAATTCTCTTTGAAAGCAACACACAAAAAAAGCCCACATGCAAACCGAATGTGGCTTGAGGCCAGAGCTAAAATGAGTGGGTTATGGGACTGTGATGAATGTCACCAGCCAAGCAGACTGGACTCTCAGCTCCCGGTCAGGATCCCTCTCAGTGAAGTGTCAGCTGGTGCCCCTGGGGGCTAGTCTTGGCCTATGGACCCTTTCTACCTCCCAGCACCCCTCCACCCCCCACTTTATTTCCCATGTGTGACCAGCCTCTCTTCTCCAGCCTGGCCACATGCTCTGCCTTGATCTGCTATTTGTCTGGAGTTATATGCAAGGCACATGTAATGAAAACCTGGGAGGATGGAGGAAAGGAGAGGGCAATTGGAAAACCACTGTCATGGGCAAATAAAAATACTCTGATGTGAGGAGTTTTCCACAAGCATGCTGCCGTACCTCTTACTCTTTGTTTGAGCCTTACAGAATCATTCAAACGAGAAGACAACAATGCTGTTGCCATAGACGAACTTCTGAATTGTCCCATCCCATAAAGCTAGCTCAAGGCTAGCTCAAGACATGAGGGATGCAGAGCCTCTGGAGAGTTACTCTGAGGCTAGAAGCCAGTGGAGCTCAGTCAGTGAGCAAAGACCTGACAGGGTGTTCCTAAACACGAATACACAGGGACCACTGTCCAGAGGAGAGGACCACATGCTGTTAGCTGAGCCTTCCAAGCCTTCCTAGTGAGACACCATCAAATACAGTCATTTCGAAATGTTACCGTAAACTGTGTCTCACCTGTTCTACCTGGGTCAGGGGGCAGTGGGGAGCGTGTTTTGAGCTTCATTCATAGGAAGCTCTGGAGGACTCTGTTTGTAAGATCTTCTAGGCGTGAACTGTTCGCTGATGCAGCTGCGCAGGTCTTACTCTGTAGCTCAGGCTGATGGTGAAAATCCTGCCTCACTCTCCTGAGTGCTGCAGTTACGGGGTGTGTATAACCATGTCTGGTTTTGTGCGAGTTTTTGAAAACGTTACCATACATTCATAAGGCGTGATATATCACACACTTCTCACCACACATAGCAAATATCACACATCACATGTCGTGTAGCACACATCACACATCGCACACATAAGGCTGTTACATGCCCATCTGCCTTCCTGTCTCCCTGGACAGAAAGGCATCGAGGGCATAGAGGGCTCACCCACCTCTTTGGAAAGCCTGGTGAAGAGGTCCCCTCCCCGCAGGAAGTCCAGGATCAGGTAGAGCTTGCCTTCCGTCTGAAAGGCTGTGGGAGGAGAGGCAGTTGAGTACTTCACTAGCAAACACTGTTCCCTCTGACCACTGAGTCTCTGTTCTTCCCAGAGCCCAGTTTCTATTCGGTTCAAACAAGGCTATTAATCTGCGGAGCTGCCAATCATTCAGACAGGTATAGCTGACCAGCTGGCAGTCAGCTGGCCAAGGACAGAGCCCAGCAGGAGGAGAGGGATGCTACTCATGGTACTCAGGGTACACAAGTGACTCAAAGAGTCAAGTGTTCACTTCTGTTAGACTCTTAGACTTTTTTTTTCTTTTTCCTCTCCAGCCTTATTCCTTTTAGCCACAAAGTGACTGAAAGACTCAGAGAGAGGAAAGTCTGTGTTCAACCTCAAGTTCCTCATTGGCATTATTAATTAGGCTTTGGTGACAGCTGGGTCCTAAAGGCAGACAACTTGCTGTAACAAGTTGTCTCCTAGTTGGTGCTAGGAGATGGTTCTGATAAACAGTAAGTGCATTTCTGTTTCCTCGTGAGGACGTGCACTGCTGTAGTCAGGGCTATGGACCTTCTCCACTCTAGGAGTATTCTTGAGTGCTTCGCCTGACAATCTATATGTCAAAAGGGAGCTCATGCTTCATGACTCAGGCCACAGTCTACACATCTTATATCCAGGGCTTAACAAGGGCACACCTCAAACTGAGGGAGCCAGTGCCTACATAGAGACCCAGAGAAAACAGTCACATTATTACCACTGTGATGGTCAACCCAACATCAGGGAGGGTCAGTCTGCTTTGGTGGCCAGGCCAATGTCAGGGAGGGTCAGTCTGCTTTGGTGGCCAGGCCAATGTCAGGGAGGATCAGCAACCATGATGGTCAGGCCAACATCAGGAAGCATCCTTCATTTGGCATCAGTTTTTATTCACAGCGTACCGGGCCGGAGGGTCCTGCTATTTCTGTGTATTGAAAAAGCTTTCATTTTCTAAAAGTTTCAGGACCATTTATTTTAAATGCTGACATTTAGACATGGCCCCTAACGAGAAGACCTTTAGCTGGGGCTCTGTGCACTGCAGTGTATGCAGTGTGGGTCTCGATGGGCAGTGGAAACAGAAGTAGTTCAGAACATCTGTCTGAAAGTCTGTGTGAGACACCCAGTTCTTAACGTCCTCATAACGAAACAGCTGGACCCCAGTGCTTGCTTTGGCAGCACACACCCTGGAACTGGATGATATTGAGAAGATTAGCACGGTCCCTGTGTAGGGATGACATGCAAATTTGAGAAGTGTTCTGTTCTGTTCTGTTTGTTTTACATGAAAGGACTTAATCGGTTTCAAAAATGAAGCACTTCAGGCAGTGTGACCCCAGGCTTTCCTTTGGCCGCAGCCCAGCAGCTTCTGGGGCAGCACAGGAGAGGAGGAGAGCCAGCAGCCTCAGTGCTGCCAGTGGAGGGTGAAGCTCTAACCATGGCTGCCATGCCTGGAAAGGTGAGGGTCCCGCCTGGCCCTTCAGCTGACTGAGGAGGCAGCCTCTGTTCTCCCTGAAGGGCACACCACACGACTTAAGGCAGGCCTGAACGATTCTCCTGGTCTCTGGAAGTCCCCCTCATTCCACCCCAGGCACATTCATGCCTTTGCTTCCTGGTTATAGAAATCTCTGGTTTTGCTGTGGCTCTTTCCCATCCTCTATTCCACCTGCGTGCCTTAACAAGAACAGTGTGAAGTGTAGCATGAGATACAAAGGCAGAGAACTGGTATCGTGTAGAAAGGTAGGTTTGTGGCCTCTGAGAAAGGTGTTGCTCTGAGCCTCAAGAGACAGAAACAATGGCCTTCTTTGAGTGGCAGTCCGTGGCTCATGGCACTCTACTCCTCCCTTTTTGGTTCACTTTGAAGGCAGAGGTTGGTGACCAACATTCTTTATGCTGAGCACTACTGAGTATGTCATCATGTCTCACTAACCTAGGCCAGGAGACCTTGTATCAAGTTACCACGGTGATGTCTAACAGTGGGCAGCCCCATCTCACAGAGTCTTTGGAATGAAGATAGGGCATCTTGCTCTTTTAGGGAAAACAAATAGGAAAGAGATTGAAGATTGGGGATTTAAGAGAACTCTGTGTCCAAATAAGCCAAGATTCTGATATAACGAGGATCTCCTTTTAGATTAATTATTATCTTCAGCTTCCTCTGACATCATCCAAAGTCATCCTCAAATCATGTGATACTTGCTGCACGTACCGTAATGCAGCTTGACGATGAAAGGGTGATTCACTTCTGCCAGGATGTCTCTCTCCATCTTGGATCTGACCCGGTCCCTCACTGCAAAAAAACAAAAGGCTATCAGAATGTGGGCGGAGAGTTAGAGCCTTGGATACACAGCAGCAGACAAGCAAGTTCGCAGCCTTGTACACAGGGAAAACCCAGAGCAACATAATGGCTACTGGCTTCCTTCACTATGTACAAGGAGTACATACATTTTGACACACTTGCTTTCTTGTTCCTAGCTCTCTTTCTTTGAACTGAAACATTAAAATATATTGTAGAGACCATGACAACTTCCTCACTGGAGAATCTACTCATGTGCCTTAAGAAAAAGGACCGTTTCTCACTGACTCTAGTGTCCCATCATCCTGTAGTGTCTCTAGCATTCTTTCCATGCTTATCACCCCTCCTACCATTTACAGCTCCCTCTCTGCTGCCCTGGGTCTATCAATGGTTTTATGTTTGTTTATATGTATGTATGTTTGTGCATATGTTTTGTTTTTGCTTGTTGTTTTCTCTCTGTGTGTGTTAATGGCTAAATTGCTGATTTGTTTTGTTAGAAGAAAACAGTCTCTTATCTTCCTCCTGCCCTTTGACTTCTTAGTAAGTCTAGGCCAGCCTTCTTGTAGAATAGTTGATATCTAGGTCTGTCTGACCAGAGCTCAGTTGGTTCCTCCCATTCTTATTTCTCATGAATGGACCTCAGGTCTGGGGTCTCTGTAGGACTGTGGCTAGACCCTTGTGGTAAGCAGTCGATGCCTCTACCATAGCCTTCTGGGATCAGGAGGGGCCTGTGGGGCTCATCCTCCCCAAGTGATGCTGAACAAGGAAGTGTCAAAATCTGTTAGCCCTCTCATAAGGAAAAGCGAGCCAGGGAGTGACACTCTGGCACACAACAACCTATGACTTCTTACTTTCATTCCATAGTGTTAGCGTCTACAAAGGGGTCCTTGCTGAGTCATTCCAGGTTACAAAACAGTACTTGTTTATTTCTGATGCAAGAGGAGGTAGGAGGACAATTCTTTCTCTCTCTGTCAGGGTGACTGTGACCTCCGAGGTAGAGAGGTGAGTAGGAAGGTGTGCGTGTGTGTGTGTGTGTGTGCCCTCGCATGCATGTACACATGCATGTGTATGTGTGTGAGAGTGTGTATGGGTCTGTGTGTGTTACAACATTCTTCTCAATGAGCACACTGTCTCACATGCAGCCATCTGGAATACAGACGTAATTAGTGTTGAGGCAAAACAAACGAACAAGAAAAGAGAGTGACGCCACTCGAGAATAAGAACGATGCTATAAGACTCCACAGGCTAACAGGCACACCCAGGCCGCATCCACGTGGCCTCACATGACCTCTCTGAGCAAGGGCTGCATATCTAGAATGCCCCCAGTGACACGCCCATCACGGTACATTGCCTGTCACTATTTAGAAGGGTAGCAAACACACTTACAGAGTTATTAAGGAAGTCCTCCCCCAAGGATGGTGTCATGATAATAAAATGGAATTATGACCAATGCTCACGTGTGATGTTAGAAATACAGCATGGTGCAGCCGTGTGGAGCAGTTAACAACAGAGCAGCCATGTAACCCAGCAGCTCTCTTCCTAGGTATCTACCCGAAAGCTCCGGGAGCAGTGACTTAGACACTCGTGTAGCCACGTTCACATCAGCGCTACTCAACAGCCACGGGTGAAAGCAACCGCCGTCCACCAAGAGATGGACAGACAAAACGTGCTGCACACATGATGTACAAGCAGATCAGTACTCTGCCCTGAGGAGAACAGCAATTCTGACATGAGCCACAACACAGCTTAATCTTGGAGACAGGATGCTGAGTGAAATAGGTCTAAATGTAAAGGACAATTGTCCTGTGATTCCACTTACAAAAAGGACTGAGAATGGTCAATTTCTCATAGTCAGGGGAAGAGCAGCAGCAGTTTCTGGGGGCTGGAGAGATGGAGAAACAGGAAGCTGCTGTGAAATGGGTCAGAGCTTCTGCTGTGATGATGAAGTGTGGAGTATGTAACACTGCTAGGAGCTACATGGTGTTGTTAATCTCCTGAAATGGCTACAATGATAACTACTACGCGGTGTGTCTCAGCACAGTAAAGAGACAGCAGTCTTTTCTCAGGCCTTGGTTCCAGGGACGTCTCCTCTGCTTTGCTCTATTAACCCTGATTTCGACCTCCGCATTGAGGTACTCAAGCCTTCTGGGGTCCACCCTTGAATCTGTCCTGGCAGACACTTGATCTGATGACCTGTGCGCCCTGTGCAGTGAGTGGTCAGTGGTAACTGCAGAGCTGTTAGGTCCTGGTCCTGTCAGGGCCAGGGTTACCGCTGTGGGCTGCTCTCTGCCACTGCTTCCTTGGGGAAGAGGGATGAATGTCTCCCACCCTTTCACAAGCAACAGATGAAGTCCCATAGAGCACACATGAAACATCAGCCTGGGGTCAAAGTGCCTCAACTGCCCCTTGTTGGTGGCCTTGACATTGTATTCTGAGATTCCGTAGGCTTCTTTCTTTTTCTCCTGGCTCACGGCTATGTTTGTTTATATGTAAACAGCAGTTCCTGTCACTGCAGCAGACTGTGACATTACTTACAGGGTAAAGGGCAGTAAACAGGCATCCAAGAGGCAGAAGAGTGACAGCTGTGGAAACTCCAGAATCTGCTTTCCAATGTCCAATGTTCGAGCTGCATGCTCGAAGCCTATACTCACCCCAAAGGAAAGAGTGACAGGCTGTACCATAACATCATGCCCGGAAGACCCTGCGGAGCACGTCATTCTGCCCATTGTTTCATAGACAAGAAAGCAGGCTCATGGTCAAAAAAAGGTGCACTCAGAGGCAAGCCCTTATGCTACCCTTTGTTGAGTGCACAGTTGCACCTTGCCAGAGATTGGACATGGCTACTGCAGTGACATCAGAGATGTCAAAGGGCTCATGAGGAAAAAAAAAAAAAAGACATGAGCAGTCTGAGCAGAAGAGGTTGAATGAATGGGGATTAGGAATAGCAACTACAATCCAAATAACACAAGAGGGGTGCCTGTGCCCAAAGTAAAGATGGCTGCTAAGATGAACGTATTTTCCCATCCTGGCGATATCTTGTCACAGGAGCAATGATCTCAGCTGGGAGCTCAGACAACTGCTCCTGTGAGCCTGCTAAGCAGCTCTGCACAAGGGTTTTCTACCATCTTTCTACTGCCGAGTTAAAACTGGAGTGATCTGCAGTTTGGAATTTTGTCAGGAAAGTTTTTGGGGTTTTTGTTGGTTTGTTTGTTTATTTGTTTTACGAAGATAAACTGAGGTGGGCCATGGAATGTTAGACTTGGGGGCAATGCAGATATTAGAGTAGACATGGGGGTGAGTTCTCTTCAGCCACAGGATGATGGGATTGGGGACAAGGTAGATAGCAGAGTGGGCATAGGCATGGTTCTTCCTGGGCCTTTCATAAGTTGGACAACCGAGTGGTAAAGCTTGATTCCTACTTCCTGGTCATGAATTTGTCTCCCTCCCACTCTCTCCCTGCCTGCTTCTGTTCCGTCAACATTTCTCAGTGCACTCTGTGCTAGCATTTAGCATGAAAAACCGAAGCTCTGCCTTCTAGAAGTAGCAGGCCAGTAGAAAGATACACAGAAGAGGGCAGCAGCAGGGACTGTCCAGTGGTAAGCCTGTGAGGGCTGAGGGACCGGAAGGACACTGCAGAGGGAAGAACCTTACAAGAACTGCATGTCAGGAGGCTGCAAAGATGTACTGCACACATGCTAAGCAGCCTGGGTGCAGCAGCATGGAGAGGCTCTGGTAGGCAGGACCAGCCAGCACTGACAGGAAATGTGTGAGACTCCAGGAAGGAGGCAGGACTTACACATGACGCAAAGCCATGGCTGCACCTGATTGAAATGTCTGTGGGGAATATGAGAGCAAAGGTAATTGTGAGAGGCTGTGTGTACAGTCCCTGAGACTGAATCATCGTTAGGAGGAGATCAGAGGCCATGAACTGCCCACAATAGGTGTGTGTTCCTTGGAGCTGGCCCTCTGGCCTGGAAGTTGAGAGATTACCTTGAAGCCATAGGGTTGTCAAGAGGAGGCCACCTGAAGCCACACTGGGTAAAGTGCTAAGGCCACACAGTGGCTGGCAGGAGGCTGGGCTCTAGCTTTGCTAGCAAAGAAGGTGTAAAGTCCCTATCCCACATGGGGGTCAACCTAGGATGCACAGGATCAATAGAGGCCCTTCGTGGGGACCTCAGGTATGGGGTGTTGCTGTCCTGTACCAGGATTTAGAGAGGACGCACCTCACTATAGAGAGCAACATGGTAAGCAGCTGAAGATAAGATAACAATCCAGAAGCATGAACAAAACATGCTGCCCCATAGTGGACAATCCCAGACCATCTACCAAGGTGAGGGCTGAGGAGGCTCATACATGTGAGGGCAAAGAAGCATCATTAGAACCTTTGAAACCTCACTCTTCCTGGGGTCTGAAATGGGAATGGACAAGCAAAACTAGAGAAGCCCATGCCTCCATCATGCTCCATCATGCTTTCACCATGCCTTTGCCATCCATGCCTTTGGAAGGACTTTTGCAAGTTTTGACACACTTTCACTTTCTTTGGAGAGGATCTTGCTATGGAGCCCAGGGTGGACTTGGTCAAATTCTCTTCCTTCATGCTTTCAAAGCCTGCTTCTGTTTTTGGTTTTATTTTGGATTTTTTTAGTTACAAATTCTCATCCACTCACTTTTGGAGAAATACCCTATCTTGATGCAGATAAGAACAAGAGCTCTTGCTTCTGCCAGGTTGAGAGGACCTTCAACACATCAGCTCCCTGCCAGTGCCCTGGAGACTCCAGACCTGGCCTCTTCTCTGACCACTGCTCCCAGGATAAAGTCAATAATGGCAGACAAATAAGAGGATGCAAAGCTTCTCTACCTCCATGACCGTAAGACACAGATTTACACTACAACAGGCAGGAATATGGAAGAGTTTCAGGTAAAAACCAAACTGCACCCTGTCCAGTAAAAACACAGCCAATGGCAACTAATAAAGGCCGAAGGAAAGAAGGGTA